AAAGCTTGAAGGCAATTTTATTAGAGCCTTTTATATGGTATTTTATTAGAGCATTTATATGGTACATAGTCACACATCCAGGAAAAACACTCATACACATAATTTTTTTATTAAGTTTCAATTAATAAGAGAGAGAACTTGTGGTACATATATACAGTAGAATTTTCAGCTATAAAGAAAAAAATCATTATGTTAAATATAATAAGTTAGATTTAGAAATATAGATACTGTCTATATGTCTTCTGACATATGCTGACTCGAGGTGTGTGTGTGTGTATGTGTGTGTGGTATAAAATGGAAGGAAGAAGCTAGGATTCAGATATGGGAGATAACATGTGCTTGTCTTGCTGAGTTTGGGTATCTCATTTAATATAATTTCAAGATTGGCTCATTTTCCTACAACACATTTTATAATTTCATCTTTTTTCTTTTGTGAAACCAAAACAGGAGCCACATTATTTTAAGGAGCCACATTGTTATACATTGTTATTAAGTCCCCATACCTTGTAAGAATATGTTTCTGTTTCTTAATCCTAATGTATCCTGCAAATGTTAGGTTTTTCAACCTATGCTGAACTTGTGATCCCATAATGTATTCCCACCTTTTTGTCTTGCTAAACTTCTGAACCTTATGAAAATATGTCTTATTTTTCCTTATGATGTATTCTCACACTTACCTACCCCACAGGCCACCCTGGGTCCCAAGTCCCTCATTTTAATGTCTCTGCAGTCCCAGGCTGATGCTGAAATCCCAGAAGCTTCAGGGAGAGTTGCTGGTTTTCAGTCTACCTTACAATCCCAAAGAAGTTGGATTTCACACAACCAGCAGCAACAAGATAGCTAAGTTCACCAGTAAGAATAAGGGCAAACAGGCAAATAGCAAGGCATCCTCTTCCCAACTTCTTTTTATGTGGGCTGCCACCAGAAGGTGTAGTCCAGGTTTAGGGTGGGTTTTTCCACTTCAACTAACTCAGTTAAGAAAATCCCTAGTAGGTGTGTCCAGCAGCTTGGGTTTCTAGCATATTCCAGATATAATCAACTTGATAATCAAGTGAGCTATCACAGTGGTTTTGATAATAGGCTTCACTGAGTGAATTTGGTACTGTTCTTTTTCTTTTTCTTTTGTGGGGGAACTTGAGAAGTGTTGGTATTAGGGCTTCTTAAAATTTTGATAGTAGAAGCTGGTCATGGTGGTGCACACCTTTAATCCCAATACTGGACTGTCAGAGGCAGGAGGACCTCAGTGAGTTCAAGGCCAGCCTGGTCGTATGATGAAAGACTTCCCTGGGTACTGACATCCGGGTTGGCAAGTTACCCTGCCACAGTTGAATAAACCAACCAATCAGTGCACGACAAAAAAAAATGTTCCTAAGCAAGTCCCCTATCCCTGAATCCTGATTGATGAGAACCATGACTGTAGCTTGGCACAGAGGTTTGCAGTTTTTCTGCTTAAATACTTACTGACGTAACATTCAAGAATGTACTCAGCCCCGGAGTCTGTACTGTTGTCCCTGGCAGTAAATTTTTGATGTTCAATGCAATAAAAGTCTTGCTCTGTGTGACTATTGTGTCTGCTTAGGTTGTTTCAGACTCTTGGACCCTACAACATGACTTTATTTCTTAGAAGTCGATGGTGTGAGGAAAATGAGAAACTGTTTGCCTGGCTCTGGAACTATAAGTTCTGGGAAAGAGGTTGCCAGTTTTCTTTGTGGTTTGGGTAGCCAGATATAAGCCCAGGAAGAGTTTGCACTCTAACCTAACCACCGGGTTCCAACGCCATTTGGATCAGATGATGAGCGCCATCTGCAGGCAGGATGCCGAAAATTGGAGAAGATACCATATTCATCATTATCAAAGCTCAGGAAAACAAAGCAAAAAAGTGAATGCTCTTCTGTGGGTCTCTGACCCTCTTTATACTATTTCGGTTCTTTGGGATTAAGTAATATGCAAGGTCTATCTTTCTCCAAAGCATTTCTGAACTTGACAGGCCCTAAGATAGGACTTCTGCTCACATCTGATGAACTTTAATGCAACCTTGGGTTGCATTATACAGGTACACAAAAATATTTATATAAATCAAGCATTTGCTTTAAATACAGTTCTTATTCACATATGCTTTATCACTTACTAAAAATGGAAGCAAATTTGCATATTGCAACAAAAGTGTTTGGTTTTTACATAAAGATTTAAATCTTGGCTGAATATTTGCTCCTGCAGGACATGGAACCTTTTCAATTTTTTCATAGTTAATGAATATTTTTTTTTGAGACAGGATTTCTCTGTATTGTTTTGGAAGCTGTCCTGGAACTAGCTCTGTAGACCAAGCTGGCCTTGAACTCACAGAGCTCCACCTGCTTTTACCTTCCAAATGCTGGGATTAAAGGATTGTGCCACCAACTCCCGGCCTGTTAATGAATATTTTTTTTTTTTTATTTCACAGTTGTCAATGCTGAGAACCCTACTTTGAATTAAATACACACTATAAAATGGTAGATGCGTTTCAGAAATAGTAGGAAATTCTGTCTTAATTCCCAAGCCAAAATTTGTTAAAATTTTTAATTTTATTTATTTTTATTTTATGTGTATAGTTGTTTCGCACACATGTGTGTCAGTGTATCACATGTATGAAGTAGCCACAGAAGCCAGAAAAGTGTTTTAGATTTCCTGGAACTAGATTTATAGGTGGTTGTGAGCTGCCATGCAGGTGCTGGATTCCAACCTGGGTCCTTTGGAAGAAGCAGCCAGTTCTCTTAACTGCTGAGCCATCTCTCCAACCCCTGAAACAGCAATTTTTAAAACTAAGCATTCTAACAGGATACAATCCACAGATAGACTAACTTGATAACTAGTTGCTGAAGAATGACAGCAGGAAGACATTAAAAGTCTGTTTTCTATTACTAAGACATTATGTTTCTATAAGAACAGAAATGTTGTAAACAATGGAAACTGCAAACCATACCATACCACACTCTGTCATCTGAGCCGCGGGTGGTTCAGGGTGCTCACTGGTGTCACCTGGAGTGAAGGTCTGCTCTGCAAAGTGAGCTTGTATGCTCAGAACGAGGCTGTAGTGATGGCAGGAGACACAAGATCTGCGTGCAGGGCCAGAAGCAATGACGTGTTGTTACACAGTTGACTCTGAATTAAGTTTTGGTCATCATGATTTCAGAAGACTTTCAGTGATACCAGATTTTTCACAAGCCTCGCACTGACTTGTGCGACCCGTTGAGTTGCAATCCATAGAGAAATGGGAGTGTCCTGTAAAATCGCCTATATTTTCATACAACCCCAGGTCTTCACTCACCATGCCTTGCTGCTGCCACCTGGGGAAGTCATGGCTGATGTCACCAATATCTTCCACAACCCTTCTTTGTGCTAGCATTTACACATACCTAGGCCTTTTCTATCTTCAAAATATTTAAATCTGTCAGGCGGTGGTGGTGCATGCCTTTAGTGCCAACACTTGGTAGGCAGAGACAGGTGGATCTCTGTAAATTCGAGGTCATCCTGGGCTGGTCTACAAAGCAAGTTCCAGGACAGGTTCCAACTCTACAGAGAAATTCAGTCTCAAAAAACAAAAAGCAACAACAGAACATTTTAAATCCAAGATACAAAAATAAAAACTTTCTGAGCCCAAACTCCACCCCTAAACTTCTGGAAAGAAGTTGCTGTTTCTACTTCCTTTCTTTTTTCAGGCCTCAGGCCTCTTCAGACTCCCTCCACTCTCTGTTTTCCATCAGATTGGGCTGCTAGCCCCCCTCCCCAAGGGCCAATGCACCCTAATCCTGAACCAACAAAACCTCTGAAACATTCGTTCATCATGGATTGAGGATACACATGTTCCCAGCTCTTCTCAGACCTGTCCAGTCTGCCCACCTCACTCCTGCACTCAGCCTCTTGCTTGGTCCATTCCTGGATGAACTTTTCATATCCTTCAGCAAACCCTACATCAATGGCAGCTTAGAGCCCAACTTCCCTCCACGCCTCTCTGTATGTAGTGTGCAGGCCAGACTCCTTTCACCCACTCCAGCCACCATGCAGCAGCCCAAGTGACTTTGTGTGAGTGAACCACCACTCAGAACCTCCACCCAGTCCTCTAAGGCCATTTTTTGATAGTCCTTAGGCTTCAGGTGCCATGACACCTGCCCAAAAGCTCTTCCTGACCTTTCCATAATTAGGCTGGGAACCCCTGCTCTAACATCTGGTTACTGTCCTAACTCCTGTGTCCCCATATCTGTGTCCCTCCATTGAACATCCAGAAAGCATGGGGCCTAGCACACATTCCTCAAAACTGGGAGTTTGACTGGGTGTTGGTGGCACTTGCCTTTAGTCCCAGCACTTGGGAGGCAGAGGCAGGGGGATCTCTGTGAGTTCGAGGCCAGCCTGGTCTATAGAGCTAGTTCCAGGACAGGCTCCAAAGCAATACAGAGATACTCTTGTCTCGAAAAAACCAAAAGCCAAAAACCAAACCAAACAAAACAAAAAACTGGGAGTTTGTAGACACAAAGTGTTCATGGATGAGAAAACATAATTCAGAAGCAGGAAAGGCAGGTCAAATTCTGATGGTGGTCCCGGAGCGAGCAGGGAGTTCCAAGAGAATCATTTTTGTGAGCCCTTTTTTTCTCTCATACAATGTGGGTTTCGGGTAAACTGAAACTGTTGGCTGTGGCCAGGGTGAAGTGCCAGCGGGCAGAACTCAGCTGGGGAGCCTGATGCAAGGTGCACTGGAGGCCAGAGTCTGCAGCGGCGACAGCCAGCTGGGCAGGATTGACTCATTTCTGTTGATGCCAGGAGAAGAAAGTTGGGGACTGGGTGTGCCCGGGACCCTTGTGTGTGGTGGTGGTGGTGGTGGTGGTGGTGATGGTGGTAGGGTTGCATTATTCCTATCCGAACACAGCTAGGTGAAGACGGAAACTAAGGGTGGGGAGGAATTTCCAGGAAATGAAAGCGAAAGAGACCTAACTTAAAGTAAACTCTGAGCAGCTTTGGGCGACCCGGCAGTCGCGGTTCCTGGCCAGCCAGGATGGCAGCGTCCCGCCAGTTTCCGCTACTGGTCGAGGGGTCCTGGGGTCCCGACCCCCCGAAGACCTTGATCAACAAGTTGCAAATGTACTTCCAGAGCCAGAAGAAGTCGGGCGGAGGGGAGTGCGAGGTCGTCCGGGATCCAGGGAGACCGGGTTGCTTCCTGGTGCTCTTCTCCCCAGAGGATGGTGAGGGGCGCGAAGGCCGAGGAGGGTCAACCCGCGAGGGGTTCGGGGCCACGGGTGGCAGGCGCAGAACTCGGCTGCAGCCCTGTGAGAGCGGAAGACCCTGGGGCAGAATCTGGGTGGCGAGCGCATCGCATCCCGGGGTCCGGTTCCCTTTGATCTTCCAGGCGCTTTCTGGAGCTGTGAACCTTCCCGTGCTTGCTTGCTTGCTTCCTTTCTTTCTTCCTTTCCTTCCATTCTTTAGTCCTCTCTCTGTTTCTTTCCTCCCTCCCTCCTTCTCTTCCTCCTTTTTTTTTTCTTTAAATTTTAACGCCCCTGTTTTTATTATTCAAGTGATGTAGGAGAATTAAGAAGTTTGAGTCCTGAGTCATCTAGCACCACATAATTCTGAGGACTGGGTGTCTTTGCGGGGGTGAGGTGAGCTTGAGGAGGGAAAAACCCCAGAGCTCTTGTCCCACAGTCTGGGGTCTTGTTCTTGCTCAGTCCTGCCCCCCAGAGTGGCCTGATGTGGTTGTGAGCTTTGATCTGGGGTGTGGGAGGGGGGCTTAGGGGGATGGGGTTTCCCTCATTGCTGGAAGGCCCCGGACAGTTAAGCAGTTGAGTGTTCCCCACTTCTGTCCGAAATCTGCAAGGGAGGTCCTGCCTTGCTTGCTTGTTCAGGTGGGTGAGCTGAAGCCCCAGACCTGCGGCTTCCGGAAGGGTTACTGTTAGTTCTCACCTGAGATTTTGTAGATCAGTGTCATCCTCAGAGGGCAGACAATTCCTCCTTCATGCCCTTGATTTGGAGAAGCCTTGCAAGGAGCCCAGGAAGCCAAGTTGTAGGCAAGGTAACGGCCCAGCAGGGATCCAAGAAGGAAAAATGAAAGAAAGAGAAGGTATAAATACGGGGTTTTCAGAGAGCCTAGGCAGGAGGGCATCAGAGACCTGCTTGGTGCATGGCGCTGACCCCTTCCTGAAAGCAAGACTCATATTGTTTGTTTTGTTTTGTTTGTTTGTTTTTGTTGTTGTTGTTGTTGTGTTGCTTCACCAGGGAGTTCTTCATAGACAGCTGGCAACAGGACCTGTTTTCTTTTTTTTACTCTTCCCAGAGCAGTGGTTCTCAACCCCCCTAATGCTATAATACATGTTGTGGTGACCCCATTTATAAAATTCTTCGCATTGCTACTTCATACTGCTATGAATCATAATGTAAAGATCTTTTTTTCTGATGGTTTTAGGCAACGCCTGTGAATGATTTGATCCCTCAAAGGGGTCAGGACCCACAAGTTGAAAGCCACTGTCGAGAGCTAGAGGGTTCCCAGTTTGATTCCAGGGATCAATACTCCAGTACACATGGCTCTTATGGAGTGCATCTTTCTCTGTTCTTCTCTAGAGCTGTTCTCAAATGTTGGCCGCATGTTAGGGGTACAAACTACCGTCCACATCCTTGTCACAGGGAGGGTGAGGTAACTAGACACAGCCCCAACTCTATTCTAGACCTTTAGTACAGTGAGTGTGGGGTGAGTGTGGAATCATGCTATCAGCCCTCTGCAGTGATCGGGACATCCTGAAGTTTGAAAAATCTCTATTGTTTATTGAGAACCTTAAGCCAACAAAATAGAGAGGTATATAAGGTATTGGTAGTATAGTGACACACAGCATAGGAAAATAATGGTTGTGATGATACAATTCCAGTTCTGGCCTTCACAGCAGACCCCTGAGCAGGTGGGTTGAAGGCTGAGCTCACAACCCAAACATCAAAGGCAGATCTCTGCTCAGCTCTTTCCCTTGGGGGCTCCCAGGCCACAGAACCCCTCTTCTCCCAGGTGTCTCAGGTGATCCCTCTCATTCCACAGATGACTCGGAACTTTACATGTTAGCGTTGTTGAGGGTCAGTCTTTAGGGCACTATAATTCCCATTCACTTTCGGTTTCCTATTTGAGGCACCACTTCCTCAGCAGTAAGCCAGCTGGAATTTCCCTCAACAGAAGTACCCTAGGGCAGCTGCATTCCTTTCCTGTAGAGTCCACCACTCTCTGTCCCTGAAGTAGCCTGAGCAGGCATGGCTTTATTCATATAAATCTACACTAGCCTACCAGCACCACCACCCACCCCTGTATAAGTTAATGTATGCCGGTCAGAACTGGAAGATCTCACCTCGGCAGGTTAACTGGATTTGTGTACTGTAGAGTATGTAGGTCTTTTGTGATTATGAATGAGCTATACTCTCAGACCCAAACTCAAACCACTGTAAACCCATTTCACATGGGCACACCTTATCATACTTTCTAGTCCTGAATGGGCTCCTATTTATTATGTGAGGGCCTAGGTAATCCTGAAGTAAGGGAACTAATTTTCTTTAAAAAAAAAAAAAAATTGGTAAGATAGTGGTGGCTCATGCCTTTAATTCCAGCACTCAGGAGGGAGAGGCAGGCAGGAGATCTCTGTGAGTTAAAGGCCAGCTTGGTCTACAGAGCAAATACTAGGACAGCTAGGACTGTTACACAGAGACACTTTGTCACAAAAACCACACACACACACACACACACACACACACACACAATTTATTTTTATTGTGTGTGTATAGGTGCTTGACTGTGTCTCTATATACCACATACATGCAGTGCTTGCAGAGGCCATAAGAGGGCATCAGATCCCCTGGAACTGGGGGTAACAGAATCTGGATCCTCTAGAAGAGCAGCCAGTGTTAACCACGGAGTCATCTCTCCAACCCTAGAACCCACCTGCCTAAGTAAAACTGAGCATACTTGACTTGAGGCAGACATGGGAGAGAGGCAAGAAATCAGAATTTTGCTGCCTTCTCCTCCCCGATTTACTGTTTTGTTGGGAATCACATACTGATATTGCCACCATGGCTCTCTGGCAATGCTTGTGTTCACACACATTTCATGCAATCCAAGAAGAGACAGTTATGCTTGGATGCCTTGGATGGACTTCACCAAAGTTCAGGAAAGAGGAATGTGACACAGAGGTACATGACAATAGGTGACAGTCTTCAGACATTAGGCCATACAGTCCTCAGTCCCCCACTAGCCCAGTACAGCTTCTCTGGAAACTCCTGCCTACTCATAGAATAGTGTTAGAGTCCTGTGTTCCTTCTCAGATGGATCCTAATGTCTGTAACTGGGTGGACATCTAAATGAAGTCCTGCTATGCCTGCCCTCTTCAGAGCTGAGGTCGGAGAGCTAGCATGTCTCCCTTTATAATGGGCTCTGAGCTCATCAGACTAGCTGCCCAACAGAGGAGAACAGGAACCCAGTGTTTAGCTGTAGCTATGAACAGCAGGGCACTGGTCTCTTTCTCCTTGACCTATTTGCACCATCTTCTAGCTGGCCATGACCCTCCTGTTACTTTTCAGGTCACCTCTATGACAGCCACACCCTTCCTGTTCTCTATGCTGGCCATGCCCCTTCCCGTTCCTTTCCTTTCCCATTCTTCTCTATGGTGGCTATGCCCATCCTGTGCCTTTCCGGTTCTCCATGGTCTGAGTTACACTGATTTTCCTCTTCTTTCTCTGGCTGCTGCTTCTGATGCTTAAAATTTACATTTTCGTAGCTCTTCATGTGATTGACAGCATTCCTTGAAAATACTTTCAGTGGAGGAAACCTCTGCTCCAGAGGTGGTTGTTTCTTTACTCAGCTAGTTTGTGGGTGAGTTGGAAATCAAATGTTAAGTCTGTGGATTCTGTTCAGTTTTCACAACAGTTTAGCTGTCCAGTGTTCTAACTCTAGTTTTGAAAAATCTCTTCTATTCCATTTTTTTCTGCTCCCTTTACTACTCAATATGGGTTGTTTATCATTGCAGGCTGCAGTGTTAGTTGAAATGGCTGGACTCCCAGTCATCCTGATAATGGCCAACTGGGTCACCTCTTTAAAACATGTCTTTCATCACACCATGTGCCCCGTTATCCCAATATTTATAGGTATTTCTACTTTGAGTGTCTAATGAGTACGGTACAAGTACTGTTCTACTAAATTCTTTATATTTCTTCAATGTAATACACTTATTGGCTCAAAAAAAAAATCCTGTTAACCTCATTAGTCAATAAGACTGAGGCTTTGTAAGTAGGATTTGTTTAGCAGGATGCTAATGGTGTTCACCAGAGATCCATTTCTGTGATAATGTACCTGAGACAATTAGCTTGAATAGAGGGTCTATCTGGGCTCAACAGTTGCCCTGCTGCTTTTGGGCCAATGACACAAGGCAGTTCACCCTGTGGAGAACTGTTGGCTATAAAGTGATTAAGAAGGGAGGGAATGGCTAGGGCCCCAGGACTGCCGCTTCTCCCCTGGCAGAGTCTGACCTCCTCTAGGTCCCATTTCTTAAAGCTTTCAGACCTTCTGTTATACTATGAGCTGACAACCATGTACTGTAATCCCAAGGCTTTTGGGGGAATGCTCCATAACTAAGCTAAAGCAATGAATATTAAAAAGTAATCCGGGCATGCCAGCACATGCTTTGATCCTAGTCCTTGAGAGACAGAGACAAGAGGATCTCTTTGAGTTTGAGTCCAGCTTGGTCTACAAACCAAGCTGGCCAACCAGGGCTACACAGTAAGACCTTGTCTCAACAAAAACAAAACAAACTACAACATTAACAATGCCCCAGTAAGTTTAGAGCAGAGCAGGGGAAGGTCTCCCTGGATAAAATAGTTTGCAGTGCAGGTGTGAGGGCCGGAGCTTGGTCTCCAGCACCCTTGTAAACAGCTGGCCATGGCTACATGTGCCCTGTACATAGTAGAAATGGGCAGACACCAAGAATTCCCTGGCCAGCAAGCCTAGGAAAAGGGCAAATTTAGGTCAGTAGGACACATAATCTCTAGGCCAGGAGGCAGAGTGATGGAGGGAAGCACCCAGTTTCCTGCTGTGGCCCCTGTGTGACTGTGCACACCCCTCCATGTGTGTGAATCGGGCACACAAAGAGTTTAAAGGTGAAATTTAAAATCCATCCAGTAAGTCTTCCTTCTTTTACAAGAGCTTACTTCTTAGGGACGATGGCTGAGCTGCTGGCTCATAACGGTGAAGTCTGTGGGAATCATGAACTGATTATGTAAGTAAAGATTGCCTGAAGTTTGGCTTAGAACTTTTTTCTTTTTTTAAACATTTCAGTTCGCCAGAATGTTCTGAAGAAAGAAAATCATGAGTTAGTGTGGCAAGGAAAAGGGACATTCAAGTTAACTGTCCAGTTGCCCGAAGACCCAGATGAAGCCTCGGTCTCTAAGGAGGCAGTTCCAGAAAAGGTAAGGACACACAGTTTTATTCCAAGTGTGGGACTCTTCATGATGAAATATGGTGAGGATGTGCTGAGTCAGGTGGTGCTTGCCTTTAATCCCAGCTCTTGCGAAATAGAGGCAGGAAGATTTCCATGAGTTCATGGCCAGCCTGATCTACATAGTGAGTCCAGACCAGCCAAGGCTACATAGTGAGACTGTCTCAAAAAGAAAAGAAAAGTGGTAGATGAGGGCTAAGTCACACTAGCATAAGAATGGTAGCTTGTAACTATGGAGGGATGGAGGGAGGGGAACAGTGAAGGAGTAGTCATCTTTTGACACTTTTGGAAGAGTCAAGGTTTGGGGGCTGCAAGAGTAATAAATTTGGGATGTCCAAGTTTGCATCCATTTGTCTTGGCTTCTTTGGAACCAGGTGCCTGCCGTTTTGTTTTCATCATCTTGAGAGGCCAGCAGTGCACAAGGTGTGCGCTGTTCCCTCAGTCGTGAAGAAGATTGCCAGGGACCTCTGAAGCACGGGCCCTGTGCTCATGTAGTAAAGGTGAAATAAGTGCCAAGGAGGGAAACCATGGCTAACCTGCCTTACCCTTGGCATGACCTAGAGAATCTTGTGTGCGTCCCATTTCATGGATAATGGTTGTGACCAGCAAAGAAGACACACTGTGATGTGTAGCCTTGGTTCCATTCACCAGCCCATTGCCCAAGTGTGTCATTATCATTTCAATTGTAATTAGCTTACATCTCCATCTGGCCCAAGAGGTGTTTTACTTATTACATGAAATGATTTGTACTGGTGCACTCCTTTGATCCCAGCAGCACTGGGAGGCAGTGGCAGAGAGAGCTCTGTGAGTTCGAGGCCAGCCTGATCTACAAATCAAGTTCCAGGACAGCCAGAACTGTTACACAGAGAAACCCTGCCTTGAAAAAAACAAATAAACAGAATCAAAGAAACGAACAAAAAAGAAATGGTTTGTGTATTAATGCTGTCCTACTGTTTGGGTTTTAGGAATCCAAGACAAAAAAAGATGCTGAGAAGACAGGTAAGTCTCAGCCAAGAAGTCCCTAGAGTTCACCAGGCAGTTTGTGTTTATTAAACAAGTTGCTTGGGAGATCTTCCCTCTAGATTCACACCACACAGGACCTGCTCAGCTTGGAGTGTCTAGAGTTGCATCATCTTTCCAGACTCAGCCAGATGTGTATAAAGCATTCATTTCCTGTGGGAGCCCCTTTACCTCTTCAGGCTCCCATCAGAGGAACAGGACCAGCTCTCCCTGGTGCTGGGAGATGTCTGCAGCTGAGGGGCAGGGAGGAAGGCCTGGGAGGTGGTGATGGACACTTGTGCTTGGGTGGCCAATTAGCAAGGACAGGACATGAAGTGGATGCTTGCTGTGTGCTTCTCTCAGTAGCAGTGCTCTGAGCGCTGGGTGCATCTTAGGTAGACCCCAGCTTCCCAGCACCAGCTCTTCCTTCCTTATTTGCTGCAGGGAACAGCCAGAGGTGGCGTCTCCTGCTCCACTAGTGGGTGGGCAGGGCCATTTCCTGCCCCAGACTTAAATGAAGGAGCAACTAATAATACCCTTATAAAAGTAACAAGTGAAGAGCAATGCTGAGTAAGAGAAGCAAGAGCAACCAACCAAGAGATGCAGACACGCAAATCTTAGGGAAAAGAATTCTTTCTTCCTAATTCTGTGACCATCTGATGACCTCAGCTGTATGCCATGTGCCAGACACACACAGATGGAGAAAGCTATGCCCTGTTTGTAGACACTTGGTTCTGTAATTACAGTCTAGCATTCGAGAGGCATAGATGAAGGACGGTGTACGTTCCCCAGAAAGACAAAGCAGAAAAAAGTAATAAAATTTAATTAGTGATTAAAAAAAACAATGCTACTTTTACTTTTTTGTTCACCGACAACAAAAACCCAATGCTACATTTTAGGTTTATTTATTTATCTATTTATTTATTCATTTATTGCTTTTTCAAGACAGGGTTTCTCAGTGAACCAGTCCTGGTTGCCCCTGGAACTCATTCTGTAGTCCATGTACCACCACAAATGGCTACATTCATTCTAGTTTTTAATTCACTAATGCAAAAGCTCCCCTATTCAAGATTTCCTTTTAATAGATTGGAAGAGATTGGAAGTGGGGGGAGGTTGTCTTAGGATAATTTACTTAATAAAACCATGATTTAACATCTTATACCTTTCATTATCATTTCCAATTTAATCAGATGACTTGATTATAACAGGTTCTTCCAGCGACAGATCAGAAAACATGGAAGATGTCTCCACAGAATGTGAAAATATTTCCTCCATGGTGGCATTTGAAAACCTTCCTGAGAAAGTGACTGACATAGTGCTGACCTTCCTAGTGGAGAATATAAGTGGCTTCCCCAGTGATTACTTTAAGGTGGAAATTATCCAAGATTTTGGTGTGGCTGTGGTTACCTTTCAGAAGCCTATAGGTGAGCCCCCATGGAGGGTGTCCCCATCCCAGGATTCTGTCCACCATACCCCAGGAGTTGGGACATCTCTGAAAGTTTGACTCATTTTTGTAGTGAGTAAATGAACCCTCTAAGTCAATACAGATGCCTTTCCCCTCAGATTTTGGAAATAGAAACAAATCCAGCCCTTTATTATATGATTGTTTGAGTGAGTGGGGTGGGGTGGGAAATAGAATGTAGAAGGTGATTCCAAGTGGAGAGATTTGAACTCTTACTTTACTTGCCCCAGAGGAGTTAAGACCGGTCTGTTACCATGCCACACTTACTGCAAAGCAATGTTGCCAACAAAGTTACCCTTAATGCTTGCCTTAAGTCAGCCACATCTAAACTCTGCATGTGTTAATTTTTTCATTCTTTCAACAACTCCACAATGTTGCTGAGAGATGGAGGAACTGAGGTTCAGCCCAGACAGCTCTACCTAGAACAGGGAAAATTTCCAAATCCTAGTCCTCATGTCCCATGGCCATGGCAGTGTGGGGTGTCAGTCAATCTCACAGGTGGTGTGGTCAGAATTCTAGCCCTGCCACTTAACTATTTGTATGAAGCTGACCAAGTTATCATTTTCTTTGTTCCTTATCCACTCATCCATAAAATGGGGATGATCATACTTACCTAAATTCCTGTAAAGATTAACTGAGATGATACTTGAGGCATGGTAAGAATTCAATAAAGGATACTATTATTAATTCAAGTTTATTATTATTTATTATAAAGGGAAATTTAAAGATTTGTTTATTTTATGTTTACAAATGCTTGGCCTGCTTGTATGTCCATGTACCATGTGCATGCAGTGCCTGCAGAAGCCAGTAGAGGGCACTGGATTCCCCTGGAACTGGAGTTACAGACTACTGTGGGCTTCCAAGTGGATGCTGGGAACTGAATCACAGTCCTGTGCAAAGATGTCAAGTGCTGTGGACCTCTGAGTCATCTCTCCAGACCCATACAGGGAAATTTAAATTTAAATGATCTTGCTTCTGTTCATGGAGCAACACTCTTGAATACTGTGTTAGCTTTCTGTTACTGCAACAAATACTTGGGGGAATCAGCCTCCAAAAAGAGAGGTTCATTCAGTTTATTCCAGTTCACGGTTTGGGTGGCTTCGGTTTATGATCAGTTAGCCCTTCCTGTTGCCTTGGGCTTATGGAGAGAGAGAGAGAGAGAGAGAGAGAGAGAGAGAGAGGGGCCAGGGTCATCTTGTTCCCTTCCTCCCCACTCAGTGACTGAACAAACATTTTCTTCAGGTCTCACTTATTAAAAGGTCCAGAACTTCCCAATAGCACCAAGTTGAGCACTAAATCTTTAACATGAACTTCTGGGACAGTTTCGATCCAAACTATCTATAGTCACTGTTATTGGCCAGGTACCAGTTTAGGGGCTGAGACACAAAGATAGATCTAGAAACATAGCTCCCTCTCTAGAGGAAGGAGGTATGTGTGCAAATGAATAATGAATATGAAAGAGAAGCTGTCTCTCAGCTGTAGTAACCTGGGGGTGGGGTGGGGGGACAAGAACGTGCATAGTTGTTCTCACCTGAGTGTGTCCTCCAGCAATGTCACCTGAGCATCACCAAAGGGCACCAAGTTTGTTCATGCTGCCATTGCTCCATCCTTCACTTATCCATTTGGCAACCACCCCTCCCCCATTTAGTTTTCAAATTAGAGACCATGTTTAGATCATATACGCTCCAAATCTGAGTCCCAGTTTTATCTGTTCCTCATTGGATCTCCAAAAGGCAATTCATTTGTGTTCAAGATCCACCCCTTCCCAGTGACATATAAGCAAGGACTTGTATTCATTTCCCAGATCCCACCCAGTACAATGCCTCATAGGCATCTACCCCGCTAATTTAAACAGATTGTTAGGTCAAAGGATAAATAGGACCATGTGAAAAAACGAGGAGGGCTGTAGACATAGCCCTATTTTGGTAGCATGGTTCAGTTTGATTCTTAGCATCACAATAAAACAAAAGCCTCTGTCTCCCATGTTAGAGAAGAGCATTGTAGACTCGGGCAATTGTATATACAAGGACAAAAGAGAACTTTAAAAACATGACTAATCGGGGTTTTTTTTTTTTTTTGTTGTTTGTTTTGTTTTTGTTTGGCTGGTTGGGTTTGGTTTTTTGAGACAGGTAGGTGTGTGTGTGTGTGTGTGTGTGTGTGTGTGTGTGTGTGTGTGGCCTTGGCTGTCTGGGAACTTGCTTTGTAGACCAGGCTGGCTTCAAACTCAGGAGATCCTCGATCCTCCTGTCTCTGCCTCTCAAGTGCCGGGGTTAAAGGTGTGTGCTACCACCACCTGGCTTGTGACTAGTTTTTTTTTTTTTTTTTTTTTTTTTTTTTTGTGGTAACAAGAAAATGAAAGTGAAAGTGCTACTTGGATATGTGTTTGGAGTCACTAGCCTGGCAGTGGGTGTGGGCTCCTACCTGTTGACATGGTGGGCATCAAAGGTCTTGAGAAAATGGGGAAAGGGTGGCATTGTAAGCAGTGCACTCAGGAGGGTTGGCCGTGGCTAAAGGACAGCTCAGAGGCAGAAAATCCAGCAGTTGGCTAGTCCCCCTTCTCAGTCATAGCCAAGCCGTTTCTTCCATGCCATACAGAGATGTCATGGAAATTTTCTCTCTCTCTCTCTCTTTTTTTTTTTTTTTTTTTTTTTTTTTTGTTTTGTAGATACCAAAAAATTTATTACTGATTGTATCAGTCATCATTCAAACCGACAACTTCAACTTGTCCCAAGACTTCTGGAAACAACGAATGTAGTTAGGGTGGAAAACCTGCCCCCTGGGGTAGACGACTTCCAGCTGCAGCTCTACTTTGAAAACCCTTTCAATGGTGGCGGAAGAGTTGCCCATGTTGAATGTTTCCCGGAAGAGAGTTCAGCACTGGTTGAGTTTGTGGACAGCAAAGGTAATGTGTCTTGGACAGTCACTCTGGGCATAACCTGGATGTTTGGCCATTTCAGCTATTACTTAAATCCTCACACGTTAGTGTGTCTGTCAGAAGTGGCATCATCTGGATTTGGTGAAGAATGAGAGCAGCAGGGCAGGCTCTAGTAAAGCAACACAAGCTGATGAGAGACAAGGGAGAGCCTCTCACGAGTCCCGTCTCTGACTGAAAAAGTGGCCATTCTAGGAACTTGTGACAGGCTGTGCTCACAAGGAGATAGAGCTGTGTTTTAGGTCCCCGAATTGATTCTCAAGTTGATCTCAACAAGTTGAGGTAAAGATGGACTCAGAAGCCTGTATAGTTCTGCAAATCATCTCTAATTCTCCCTTCTGCTACCCCTGTGCTGATCCTGGACATAATGGAGGGGGTGGGTGATATCTCATAACTTCAGGATGGGTCTGAAAGACCTGTTGATGACATCTTCAATGGTTCTTGAGTCAGATAGACTTGAGGACTGGCTGATTGATGTTCACTGGCTTTGTGACCTTTAACCCTCAAACCTTCTGTTTTCTCATCTGTAGTGTTAGGAGTTACCTCAAGCATGCTGTGAGAAGTAAATGAAATAATCCCTGAGCAGAGCTTGGCCTGAGGTGGTGCTGAGTCCAAGCTACAGGTCACTTAGGCTTTCCAACCCTGGGGGAGTTTGGGCCTCCGAAGATCACATTCTTTCCCTCAGGCCTGATACCTGCTCTAGGATGGAGTCTTTTACTAGGGTATTACGGTTTAGCATCTTTCTACCATGAGAGCCATTAAAATCCATGTTGTTGCTGTATTGACTCTATTCTATGCTGATACTACTTACACTTGCCTAACAACTAAAACAACACGAGGCAAGTCCTGGAGAGAGAGAAAGAGAGAATGAGAGTATTCACCCCGGGGTAAGTTGTGGTGGCTGTCCTGGTACACATGTCTGGCAGGAGATTATAATCTGGAAGGCCTTACTAAATTGTGACCCCTGGGGCTGGGCTCTCCAATAATTGTGAGAATGATTTTGATTTGGTATAGGAGCAAGAACATGGAGTCTGGGTTGGTTCACACTGGCAATTAGCCCAGATATTTCCCTTGGTTTATAGAACCTTGACTTTTCCCAGCCTCAGCTTTCCCATCTCTAGTTAGGGTATAACAGAATTTCTACCTGAGAAGGCCACTGTCAAGATTAAAGACATTAAATTCATGTAAAGCCCTTGGGAAAGTGATGCAGAGTGTATACAATTATGCCCCTCCTGTGAATTTAAGTTCCAATGAAAGTTAAATTCTGGAACTATTCAGGAAGGGACAGACAGATAGTAGAATGATATACCCAGAGGTTTAAATTTTTTGTTTGTTTTTTTGTTTGTTTGTTTTTTGTTTGTTTTTGTTTTTTGAGACAGGGTTTCTCAGTATTGCTTTGGAGCCTGAACTGGAATGAGCTCTGTAGACCAGGCTGACCTGAAACTCACAGAGATCTGCTTGCCTCTCTCTGTCTCCAAAGTGCTGGAATTAAAGGCACGCACCACCAACGCCTGGCTAAAACATTCTTTTTAAAAATAATTTCTTTTTTATTTTATGTATTTTGGTGTTTTGCCTGCATGTACATCTGTGTGAGGGTGTTGGATCCCCTAGAATTGGAGTTCTAGACAGTTGAAAGCTGCTGTGTGGGTGCTGAGAATTGAACCCTGGTCCTCTGGAAGAGAAGCCAGTGCTCTTAACCACTGAGCCTTATCTCCAGCCCTTAAAATGTTCTTTGTGTAAACAGCAGCCACATGCTTGTGTCCAAATTAGTATCTGTTTCTTATTGTGCCACATACATCAGTGACATCAGAAAAACAACAGAACCAAACATGATTTCAGTGTAGAGTGGTTGGCTATACAGTAATTATTGCAAAAATAATGGCCACTTTCAGTTTTTAGCTGAGCATGCAGGAGAATGCTACCTTTGAATTCCACAAATATCAGAGACTTGTTTTGTTTTGTGTTCTTTGGAAATGCATGACATTGAGATTACTGCTATTTATTCATTTGTTTATTTATTTACAGTGTTAGACACCATTATGGCCAGGAAACACAGTTACAACAGGATGCCACTGTCTGTCTTCCCCTATTATCCCTCTCTGGGCACAGCCTTATATGGCGAGGAGAAGCCACTGGTCAAGCTTCCAGCACCTTTCCGAGAGTCACTGGGTCTTCCTTTGTGGAAGTTCTTTCAAAAGAATAATCATCTGATCAAGGAGATAAATGACAAAATGAGACGCTGTCACTGTGAGCTAGTGTGGTCTGAAATCAATGGTACAGTGACCATCAGACCTGCTGCCACCTTAGTCAATCATAGACCAAGCATCAAGACCTGGCAGAAAGACGCAGCCAACGTGCTGTCTGCCATCAGGTCTGAATATGAAGTGAAGTTGTTTGAAGTGTATCCGCCAGTGTGGGACATCATACAGCATGAGTTAGTAGATGACAGGGTTTTGATTGAGTTTGATAAGGACAGTCTCACCTTAGCAGGAAAATCAGAAGATGTCCAACACATCGGTCAGAAAATCAAGGAATTAATAGATAGCACAACGGAAAAAGTCAGAAAGGAGGAGCAGAGTCTGAAGGAGAAAGTGGCCATTTCTCCTGGGAAACATTTTCTTTTGGAATACAGTGGCTTTCTGAAGGATCTAAGCAAAGAGTACCCAGACATGGAGATTCATTATGATGCTGCCACTCAGAACCTGTGCTTTAAGGGATTTCATGTAGATGTGTATAAAGTAAAGTGTGACATCCAGGAAAAGGTGTATTCAATGCCTCAGAAAGACGTCCAGGTTCCTTCTGAAATCTTCATGTTCCTGCAGCAAGTAGATAGTCAGGAACTCTCCAAGACTCTTTTTGAAGCACCCGAGGTTCTTGCCACATATGAGCTGAACGATACAGCTCTTCTCTTGACAGCCTATTCTCACAGAGCTCTGGCAGAAGCAGAGAAGCAAATTCTCAATGCCTTAAGTTATAAGCTCATTGAAGTTGAGGACAAGGAAGTTCTTAGAGGCAATGTGTGGAAAAAGAAAATTCACCCTCTGCAGAAGAGACACAACTCCACTACAACCATTAGAATAAAGAACGAACTAACTTCAGGAACCCCGGCTGAGGTCATCGTTGCTGGTTGTGTAAACGAAGTGAGTGAAATCTATAGCCAGCTTTTTGAGTTCTTGGAAAACAACATGAAAATTGAAAGGCTGGTTGAAATAGAACCACCCTTGATTATTGAGTATGTAAAGATGGACAAGAAGCTATTCTGGCCCAAGATAAGGAAGGCAAATGTGCAGGCAACTTTTAAGCTGGAAGATGAACCAAAAGGCATTTTACTAACTGGCTCTAAGAGCAAAGTTCTGGAGTGCATGAACTTGGTCAAGCAAATCCGGGATTCAGCCTGCATTCAAAGATTCCAGATCGATAAGCCTGGTGCCAGGCATTTCTTTCAGGATAAAGCATCGTATTACAAAAGTGAGATCAGGCGCATGTATGGATGTGTCATTGAACTCCAGGAGGGTGGAGAGAAGGAGAAAGGCAGCCTCCAGGCACAGAAATGTCACTTACAGAAGGCCATAGCCCCTGGAGTCATGCTAATTGTACAGCAGGGAGATCTGACTCAGTTTCCTGCCGATGTAGTAGTGAATGCAGCAAATGAGAATCTGAAACACACTGGCGGTGTCGCACAAGCTCTTGCAAATGCAGCTGGCCCTGAACTTCAAGCAGAATGTGACCAGATAGTAAAAAATGGTGGCATGATCTTAACTGGCAATGCTGTTATCTCAAAAGCAGGCAAGCTCCCTTGTCATCATGTCATCCACGCAGTAGGACCTCGGTGGAGGGGATTTAAGGCCTGGGAGTGTGTGAGTCTGTTAAAGAAAGTTGTGGATCGAAGTCTCACTTTAGCTGAGGAATACAAGTGTCAATCCATAGCCATGCCAGCTATCAGCTCTGGAATCTTTGACTTTCCCTTAGACCAGTGTGTGGCAACCATTGTTTCAGCCATCAAAGGCAACTTCCAGCGTAAGCCAGACAGACGCACCTTGAAAAAGATTTATCTGGTGGACATATCTGCAAAGGTTGCTGGGGCCTTTGCTGAAGCTGTAGAAACTGCATATAAAGACACCCTCTCCCACGATGCTTCCCCACCCAGTTTAAAAGCATTAGAATCGGTACCACCACAGGCACAGGGCTGTCTGCTGGTGTCACCAGAAGGCCTGAAAATCCGGATGGTGGAGGAAGGTGTGCAGCATGCAAAGGTGAGTGTCCCTGTCACCACCAATGTGCTGTGATGTCACTGGTCTGTGCCTGCTTTACTGAGGGCCAAAGAAGGACAGGGTGGAAGGAGAGGACTGAGGAAAATGCCATGTTCTCCTGCCCAGTCATGCAGCAATGGAGACCAGGTGTGTTTGCAATAACTGAAAGGGCAGAGAAAGGTATCTCCACCCCAGTGTGGTCCACAGCAGCGGACACTGCACTCCTCTCCCCATTTTCATCACTTTCTGTTGTGTCTGGTCCTCCTGCCAGTTACAGGTGTGGAAAAGGACATGGGGGACTCAGAAGACAGGAATCTGTCCAAAGACATGAGCAAGGGTGAACTTGGGTGCTAGAGTGGATGAGGGAGCTTAGTTCCCTGAACTCATCTGTGGGTCCTTTGTGAAGGAGTAAGTGGGTAAGCAGGAGGAAGGTCCGGATGTTGGAATCGTGTAAGGATAATTCTTGTTTTGTGTGTTTGTTGCAGGGATCTAATGTGTTTTGGATAGGCTGGCAGCCAGTAAGCCCTAGCAACCCCGTCTCAGCCTGGCCCTCCCCCCAAAATACTGGGGATACAGGCATAAGCAGCCACTGCTCTTACCCATTGTGCCACAACCCCAGATTGTGTGTGTGTGTGTGCGCGTACGTGTATGTATTTAGCCAGGCATGGTGGCACATGCACTTGTGAGACAGAGGCAGGCAAATCTCTATGAGTTCAAGGCCATCCAGGGCTACATAATGAGACCTGTTCTTTTTTTTGTTTGTTTGTTTGTTTGTTTTTTTGTTTTTCCCCTTCTTCCTGAGAAGTATTTAATACCAACACAGACTCTACTAATAAGAACTGTAGCGATCTGAAGCAGGGCAGGCTAGCGCCTGCTTCCTGATCAGTAGCTGCATTTCTCTCCAGGCTGTGTCCTCCTCCAGTGAATGTCTGCCCCATCCTTCAGCTGCTTCAGGAGGGGTTGGGTCTCAGAGTTGGATGACCTGCCCTTTCTGCCTCTCAGACAGCTCTGAACATTTGTTGTTACTGTTATGCTTTGAAAGACAAAGACTTGGTGGCTGTGGCTCAGTTGGTAGAGCACTTGCCTAGCAGGCATGACGTCCTGGGTCCAGTCTCTTAGCACTACATAAACCAGGTGTGGAGGCACATGTCTGTAAAAGCAGCATTAGGGGTAGGAGCAGAAGTTCAAATTCAAGGTCATCCTTGGCTACAAAGTGAATTAGAGTCCAGCCTGGACTATATAAGACCTTGCTTAAAAAAAGAAGAAGAAATGAAAGAACTATAACTACAACACAAAGAAAACAAATATCATAACAGAGACATTCTGTTTAAAGATTTATTTCTGTACCTTAAAATTCATGTATATGTGTGTGAGACTGAGAGCGAATGTCACATGTACGTGGGTCCTCGCAGGCCAGAAGACACTGTCCGATCCTTTGAAGATGGAGTTCAGGTGGTTGTGGATGACCTGGGTGGATGCTGGGACTGAACCTGGGTCCTCTGGAAGAACAGCAAGTGCTTTTAATTCCTGAGCCATCTCTCCAGCCCCTACAGTGATTTTTTTTTTAGCCAGTCCTTGAAAGCTTTGTTTAAAGATCAAGATCAAAGTCCTAAATTATGACCACTGGGTGACACTTGTCCCCACTACTTAAACAAGGAACAGTTGGATATGCTGGCTATAATAGATGAAATGAACTAGATGTTGTAACTGTTTTGCTTTGAATTGTTTTACAGAGAAAGTCTCTCTAAGCACCTGCCAAGAACAGTTCTTGGTGTGCTGTGATCCACAGTGATACAACTGAAACTTTAAAAAAAAAATTATTTATTTTTATTTCCTGTGCATTGGTGTTTTGCGTGCATGTATGTCTGTATGAGTGTTGGATCCCCTGGAACTGGAGTTACTGACAGTTGTAAGTTGCCACATGGGTGCTGGGGATTGAACCCCAGTCCTCTGGAAGAACAGCCCGTGCTCTTAGCCTCTGAGCCACCTCTCCAGCCCCCCAATACTCATTTCAAGTGGGAACATCAATGGTTTTTAGTATATTCACTAAAATACACATGGAAGGTCTTGGTGTCGCTACTCATGTAGCAGCAATTCTTGTAGTATAAACATGAGTGTGTATACGTGTGTGTAACCACTATCATGCGACCATACCTGTAATCGAACTTTAGTGCACTTTAATCCCACCAGAAAGAAATTTGTGCCTATTAGCTGTTATTGTTAATTTATCTACCTGATCACCCCACTTTCCTAGCTCTACAGGGCATCTAATCTATTCTGTTGTTGTTTTGTTTGTTTCTTAATTTTCTTTTTGAGACAGAGTCTTACTACACAGCTGTGGTTGTCCTGAAACTTGCAATATCCACTTGCTTCTGTGTCCTGAGTGCTGGGATTAAAGGTGTGTGCCATCACACCTGGCTCTACAGAGTCACCTGCTCTTGAAGTTTCATGTAAATGAAATAATCTATTTGTGTCTTCCGTGACCAGTTTCTTTCACTGACTGGATGCTTTCAGGGGTCGTCTGTGTTGTAGCACATATCAGTATTCCATCCCTCTTAGTGGCTGCATAATATTTTAGTAGATGAATATACGTTTATTTTTCCCAGCCATTAGCCACTTCGTTTCCACTCTGACTTTTATGAGCTGTGTTTCTCTGAACATTGATCACAGGATGTAGACAAGCAGCTGAGGTCTTCTTGGTGCCACACCTGCTGGCTCAGCTCAGCTCAGACGTGATCATGTTTGATGAATGCCTTGACTAAGAATTTGAAAATTTGGTTTTGTCTTTAAGACCGATGTCATTGTCACCTCCATTCCCCCGGATCTTGTACTCAACAAAGGACCACTTTCTCAAGCCTTATTGGAAAAGGCTGGGCCAGAATTCCAGGAGGAATTGAATGAAGCAGGACAAGGGGTCCCTGTCAATGCGGGCACAATCCTACAAACCAGTGGCTATGGTCTGAACTGCCACCGCGTATTTCATGTGGTGGTTCCACAGTGGAAAGTCAACAATACAGCATGGTCACTGAAGGTACACCCCAGCTTTATGTTTCTCAGGAAATGGGGTAGCTCTCTGGACTCTTCCTATAGCACACCACAGCTAGTCGCTGTCTGCTTCTTCTCTGTGACAACGTCATGAGTTTGACAGGTCCCATGGGCTTTTCTTTTCAGTTGTCAACTACTTCTTGTATGTCATAGTTGACAATGTAAGTTAGTTCTTGTGCTCAGCGATTCTTGGCGGTCAGGGAAGGGTTGGGGGAATACCCTTCACTTACTGAGGAAATGTAAGGTGAGGGCTGGAAGCTGGGAGGCAGTGACAGACAGCTGTCGCTTCCCCTCTTTGCTTCGTGGTGGAATCTGCCTGCACTCTTGTAAGGGAATCTCACATTCTCTTTCTCATTTCTTCTCCTGAATTTCCCTCTTATGCTGCGGCTAACTTTTGTTGAAAGCATAATAGAGTGGACAGTGTTCCCCATAAAGGCTGCTGAATGCTTATTTCTTGGGGGGGGGTCTTTGATTTCTAAATAAGACAGTAAAGAAAGTGCTTTGTGCCTTTCAGATCATGAAAAACATTATCAGAGACTGTCTGAGGACCGCCGAGGAACAGTCTCTGCAATCAATTGGATTTCCAGCAATAGGAACAGGAAATCTGGGGTTTCCTAAACCTGAATTTGCTAAATTAATCATTTCGGAAGTGTTCAAATTTAGTAGCAGGAACCGGAAAACTTTACAGGAAGTTCAGTTTCTGCTGCACCCAACAGACAAAGGAAACATTAAGGTACCCACTTTGCTTACTTCTGATTACTTTGCCAACTGCAGTTTGGGACCTGTGTTCTTCTAGGTCTTCTTAGTCTAATAGAATAGCATTGTTTGTTTGTTTTGTTTTTCAAGACAGGGTTTCTCTTTAGCTTTGGAGCCTGTCCTGGAACTCTCTGTAGACCAGGCTGTCCTCAGACTCACAGAGTTCCACCTGTTTCTGCCTCCCAAGTGCTGAGGTTAAAGGTGTGCACCACTACTGTCCAGTGATATGTACATTTTTATAACTTTAAAAATATAGAAGTTATTAAAATACTACAGTTTGAGGGTTATTATTTTCCAACTGTGTGTGTGTTGTTTGATGTTGGGTCTTAGGTGCGGCAGTAGAGAGAAGCTCACCAAAATGCTAAGCCTTTGTTTTCTGAAGGAGCAGAGGAAAAGACTGACACCCAGCTAGCTCACTCCAGTTACTTTATTCAAACATTTACAAGGCCCACAGGGGCTGGGGAAGGTTCCAATTCACAAAGTTATCTTGTTTGTGCTAAACATGGATGAAACTCTGTCTGTATTTCCAGGCATTTTCAGATGAATTTGACAGAATGAGCAGTGGAAACCCTAGTGACCAAAGTCCCAAGGCTGAAGACTCACAAGGTTCAGTAAAGTTTTTAAGTTGACCGGTGATTTCTTGTTACTAAGTAACTGTTCAGTGACAGGAAAAGGATGATGATCAAACTATGGAATTAACTAAATTACATTCCATACACATGGGTATAAAAGACACTGGCCTGTTTGTGGGGCTTGGAGCAAGAGGGAAATGTGGTCCAAATTATATAGTCTGTACAGTGGGATTTTTAAATGATCAATGAGACCACCCCCTCTAATGCATAATGTGGCAAGTATTTTCCAAGAGACATATTATGGGACAATATAAGGCAACACTTCTCTGTCAAATGTGATTTGAGTTCATCTTATTTGGGGTCACTAGAGCTTTGTTTGCTATGTTGCCCAGAATAGCCCCAAACCCCTAAATTCAAGCCATCCTTCTCTCCCAGCCCTGGGCCAGCGTCATAATAATAAATAGACAGCCAGTACAGTGATAGGACAGCCTGTGACCTCAGTTATTCGTGCTTCTGATGGCGTGGCACCTAATCCTGCCTTTTTTTCTTTTCCTGGGCAGGGTTTTATGGGAGTCTTTCCAGCCCTGCTTTAGGAGTTCACGAAATGAATATTGGCCCGATTCTCTTCCAAGTGGCCACAGGGGACATCACCAAAGAAGTGGCAGATGTGATTGTCAATTCAACATCAAACACATTTACTCTCAAATCAGGTAACTTACTGAGATGGATTCTGTCTTGAGCAGCAATCAGTGTGGTAGATCCTATTAAAAAATGTTTCTATAAACAAAATGGTTTTGTGGTCTTGGGCTTGTTCCTGTTAATTACCATCTTTAAAGTTATTTCATTGGGCTTTCTTACAATTGGCAACATTTTTGAAATTTTCTTCTCTGCTAGTGATGCCCAGGCATGGGCCTGCCCTATGATGGAGTATGTTGGGGATACAAAGTCTGCCTTTCTGGTCAAGTTACCATCTTGATTTTCTCATGTAGGAGTGTCCAAAGCAATTTTGGAAGGTGCAGGACAAAATGTGGAGGCAGAGTGTTCTGTGTTGGGTAAGGAACGATGCTGCTTCTTGGTGCCAGATTGGAAGGGGAAGATTGACTACGGGAGGCTGTGAGGACGCTGAGAAATGTCTTTGGGCTGGGAAGATATGTATTAATATTTTGTTTTGAGATCCATGTATCAATCTTAAGATCATATATTTTATGAAAACTCTACATGAAAGAAAGGTAAAAGTGGAATGTTATCTCATAGTTAAGAGATATTAAGCCACAAAATTTCACTAATCATACTATTTCAAGAGCTTTTAATTCATAAAATATTTCCTCATCAAATCAGACATCTTGCTTTCTCCAAGAGTAGGTTCGCCATCTGATTGAGTCTGTTTATGTTTCACAGCTCAACAGAACAAGGAGTATATAGTTACTGAAGGTGGATTACTGAAATGCAAGAGTATTATTCATGTGGTTGGTGGGAATGATGTCAAGAGATCAGTTTCCTGTGTGTTGGAAGAAAGTGAACAACGGAACTACACATCCATTTGCCTACCAGCCATTGGCACAGGTTCGTAGCCACAGGCTTTCAAGGCATCGACTTCCCCATGGATTTGCTCCTCACTGGGTCCGGGTGATGACAGTGACACCTCACCCAGGAGTGGACAGTTTCCTCACTCCAAGGCACCCCAATCCATGAGGGAATGAGTAAAGCCTGGGACACTTTAAGTAGAAGGAGAAAGATGAGCACCTGTGGTCCCAGTTACTGGAAGGACTGAGGCAGGGGGAATGACCCGTGTCCCTACAACTGTCGACGACTTAGTCAAAGGCATTTACTGTAATTTTCTGCCATGGTGGTGGGCACCATTAACAGGATAATCCAAATGGGCTCTCAGTCTATTACATCAGCTTGCCCAGGAGACGTACATTGCCTGTCACGTGACTTTGGCAGCTTCCATTCAGTCTAGGCCACACCCATGATTAGAAAAGGACATTTCACAGTCTTACTTAGCCAGTGGGGTTCCAGGGTTTGAGAAACAAGATCTGGAACGTGTTGGAGGCAGGAGTGGATCTACTCTGTGGCTGCTCTGCATGCTGCTAGGCAGCTAAAATTGTACAGAGTATGGGGAAGAAGGACTTCTGGAGGCTCTGGGTAACTAATGCACCTAGAATAGACCATAACAGGTAGCTCATTGTTTTTGGTATCTTAATTTAAATTGGCTCCCCAGAGAGTAGCTGGGAGAATCCCAACACATCCATAAAATCTATCAGAGGCTAGGATTGTCTCTGTAAGGGCCATGTTGTTTCAAGATGTATTAGCGCATATGTGTATGTGTATATATATCTTTTTATGATCTTTTCAGGATACTAGTAAATCAGGAGGGGTGGGAAGACACCTGGACTCTGTAATGGAAGGGGAGTGACACTGGGAGCCAGGATCAGCTGTAAAGGACAGATGTGAATTTCACAAATTAAAATGAGTTTCAGGGTTTTTACCTGGGATATTGACAGCATGGAACAGAAGCTCCCCCTGCGCTGTATCTAGGATGTCAAAAACTATTTGCTATGTGATGTTAGAAAAGTGTACAGTGATTAAAGTGGAAGCAGACATTTTTCTTTCCTGTGACAACTGGGATTCCTTGTTTATGTCGAAGCCCTAACCTTGTCTTTTTGTGTGTGTGTTTTTAAAGGAAATGCTCAACAGGACCCAGATGCAGTTGCTAAAGCCACAATGGATGCCATTGAAGAATTTATCCAGAAAAAATCAATGCAGTCTGTGAGGAAAGTGAAAGTTGTCATCTTTCAGCCCCATATTCTGAAAATTTTTTATGACAACATGAAAGACAGAGAAGGCTCCCCACCTCCTCCCCAGCCATCTATGCTGTCTAAGATCGCCTGTGAGTTGTTCGCTTTTATGAAATACATATTTGTGACCTTGATGCTGAAGGGAATAAAAGAAAAATTAATTTTCATTTTTTCTTTAGCCTTTCTTGGCTTTCCAAAGCATGCTCCCCCCAAACAGAACACCTTGGTTTTGGAGAAGAAAATACAGCAGACAGTTTTCCAAGTTTGTGGTGCAGATGCAGATAGCGTGGAAGGCACGATCACCTGGATACAGAATCTGATCACTGATGAGCAGTTATCCTACACTAGTCATGATGACTGCATCCGAGACTTTGATGAGAGGGAGTACAAGAAACTGAATGAGCTGCTGGAGAAACTGAATATTGCCATTGACCTGGACCAGAAGACACCTTCGATTAAAGTTGCAGGAATTAGCAGAGACGTGGTACGAGCCAGAGATGAGATTGAAGACCTGATCAGGAGCATTCAATTGGCTAAAGAAAAGGAAAGCCAGGCAGACTATGTCTTCTCATTCGTGGAATGGCAATACATTGATAACAACATCACATACCATTTTGACAAAATAACTAACATGCAGTTGGAGGACGCACGAAAGGCAAAGCACAAAAACACTGTTGTCAAAATTAATAATCAGAACTTCACAGTGAACTTGAGCACAAACACAGCCACAGGCCCTCAAGGTCAGAGTCTCGCTGTTCAGCGCCACTTAAAAACTGAAGGTGAGTTACATGCTCATTGGTGTCAGCCACTGCTCCAACTCTGAGTTCAACCCAATTTTAGAAACACAGCAGTTTCAGTTTTGCTTTTGAGACAGTGTTTCACTATGTAGACATGGATGGCCTGGAACTCTTTGTAGACCAGGCTGGCCTCAAATTCATATATTTGCCTGCCTCTGCCTCCTAAATGTTGTGTGAGCCAAGCCACCCATACTCTACTATATTAAATTTTAAAGTAGATAAAACTCAAATAACCCTAGTAGAATAATTTCAAAATCTTGGTCCCTGAGTTTCCAAAGCATACACTATGGTTAGGAGAAAATACAGCATGAATGAACCCAACAGCTGTAACAACAGTTAATCCTGCATTTTCCCTCCCTGCAATTTATAAGCTTTCTGGATTCAGTTCTGGATCCCAAGCAGTTACGCTACCTCAGGTAGAGGTAGGAAGAAGGTAGTTTCAGAAGGAAAGTGGCCTAATGTTCTCAAGAACACAAAGGCCAAGGAGAGTACAGGCTCATTAGAGTTGGCCTCTGTGTCCATGAGGCTGTCCAAGGGAAGACTCCCATTCTATTCCCAAGTCTTTTCTTCCCTGAGTCAAAGGTTCCTGGGTACCAGGTCAGGAAGCAGTCTACAGGTTCCCTGATGGATCTGATCCTCAGGAAGGAAATGTCTGTCTTGTGTATGTGTAGGCAGTCGTTCCTGCCTTCAAACCACATAAGTACCCCCACCCCTGGCTTCCCAAATTGTATCCATCTTCTGTAGGATCAAGCTGAATGAACCCCTCAGATTCTAAGCAACCCTGGAGGAATGACATATCACATGTCGTATTCTGCAGCCTGTTACAGACAAACCCTATCATCCACCCAACTACCTCTTAAGGTTGCTGTGAAGCAAATGAGAAAGTACATGTAGGCTACCCTCCAGTTGTAGTGTGGTGTTCTGGTACAAACCATTGTATATGCAAAATGACAGATTGTTCAAAACAATTTAGGTAATTAATTTGTTAACTTACATCAAAGTAGAGGATGTGGTGATATATTGTTTATGATTTATTAAAACTTGCCTGAGCCACAAGCCATACAGCTTGTGGTGTTACAACCTTTAATCCCAGGACTCAAGAAACAAGCTGATGTTAGTTCAAGGCCACACTGAACTACATGAAATTGATCCAATCCTAAAGAGGAACGGCTTACACAAAGTTGATCTCAGCACTTGGGATTACAGAACTTTAATCCCAGGTTTTAAGAGATATAAAGGAAGAGATAGCAGTCAGGCTAGAGATCTCCCACTGTCCTATCTTCCCTTAAATCCCATCCCCTCTTCTGAACACACTTCCAAATTCATCCTGATAACAGTGGTCCATGATCTACACTTTTAAGGACATCCTTTTAGAAAGACAGGGAGTTTCTTGAATACATAGAATTATAAGACTATAGCACAAGAGGGAGGCAGGTTTTTGCCAAAGCATACTGGAAATGGACACGGGCACTCTCAAATGTCTGTTTTGCAGCTGAAATTCCTGCAAATTGGAGTGACATGAAGCAGAAGAAATTGCTTGTGGTCAGTCTGCAAACCAATGATCCTGAATACAGCATGGTGGCAAGCAAGTTCAAGCAGACTTGCGCAAACTTTATCATAGAGAAGGTAGGTCAGCTGCTGATGAGGTTCAAGGCTATCACAATCCTGAATAAACCCACTCACATATGGGTCTGTAGAGGTGGCTTAGGGGGTCAAGATTTTCTGCTGCTCTCTCAGAGGACCCCAAGTTCCAAGTTTTGTTTTCAGACCTACATCAGGGAGCTTACCACAGTCTGAAACTACAGCACCGGCACTCTGAAATTATGCTCTTCCATGAGCTCAGTTTTCATTTTATCCATCCCTCTCCTAGTATCTGTGGGCACATGGATTCACACGTGTCAACCCCAAATACACATAATTAAAAATAAGATCTTAAAAATACACCCCCTTTCACTCCCAATCATACTTTTATTACCCAGATTCAGTCACATTTGTGTGGCCTGTTCTCGCCTTCTTCCTTTGCACAGGATTTGGGGATTGGGTTCAGGACACCAAGCTTGCAGAGAAGTCACCCTGACCTGAGCCATCTCACTGGCCCCACCTTCAGTTTTGAGGGGAATTTTTGCTGGGTATAGAATTCTGAACTGGCAGTTATTTTCAGTGACTCCACTAGTTTTGGACTTCATTTCTTCATTTGGTACTCTCTCTTCTCTCTGGGATCCTGTCTCATCAAACTCTTGTATTCATCCCCCACTCCCACCCCACGTTTTCTGGTAGCTATTGGTGAGAGAGTAAATATGATGGACATGATGGTCAAGTGCTAACAATACATCGACTAAACAAAGTTTAAGATTTACTTTCCTTCCTTCCCTTCCTCCATCCCTCCATCCTACTTGCTGTGGTGCTGGGAATTGAGGCCAGGGCCTCACATACAGTGAGCATGTACCCTGCCACCAAGCTACACCACCACATCTGAGATAATTATGTGCTATTTTTTTGTTTGTTTGTTTTTAAGAAACTTCCCTTTTAAATGTTTAAGTTAAAAAATTGGAAGTTTCAAAACAAAAAATGAAAGTTTGAAAAGGTGAGTTAAATGACAAAATTTTGGGTAAGCAGAAATAAAATGGACACAGGTGAAGATGAGAAACAGTTGTAGGTAAATAATAAGAAGGGAAACATGATATAAAAAATCCTAAGTCCTATAAAAGTTTAACTACAGAGTCAGTTTTGCCTTTTATATTTTTCAGTTTTTGATGTTTTTGAGACAGGGTCTTATGCAGTTCAGGCTGGCCTGGAATTCAGAATGTAGTTCAGGCTTGCCTTGTCATGATCTTCATGCTTCAATCCCCCAAGAGCCAGGATTACACTCAGAGGGAACCACCATACCCAGATTAGAGGGAAAGTTATATATAACTCAGCTGGTAAATTGCATGAGACTCCACACAAAAAGTCCAGGTATGGTGGTGCAGCCTGATAACCACAGAGCTGCCAAGGCAGACACAAGTGGATCCCTGGGACACGTCAGCCAGTCAGCCTGACTCGGTGAGCTCCAGGCCAATAAGAGAAACTTGTCTGTGTGTGTGTGGGGGGGGGGCGGGGAGTGCTGGGAGGTAGAAGGGAGGTTCATACATATAGATCAGAGTATAACTTTGTACGGTCAGTGTTATCTTTCCAAATTCAGAGGTCAAGCTCAGATCACCATATGCTTCCTGAGCTGTCTTACCAGTTCTAAAAATATTCCTGAACACGGGACGCTGTCACTTGGCACTGAAGTTTTACTAATGAAAGACAAAGTTGGTAATTTGCTATTACTTTGGCAAGTGCTCTTGGCATCCCCAGAATACTTTATTAATTTATATAGATCGAAAGGATCCAGAATCCATCTCTCTGGAGGAGGTACCAGATACACAAAAAAGTTATGGATGACAAGAATGGCCATAGAAGAAATGAGAAACAGCTCTTCCACGGGACAGAGGCTAGCTGTATTCCACACCTCAACAGCAATGGATTTAACCGCAGCTATGCTGGGAAGAACGGTAAGGAAGCTTGCAATCAATTGCCCAAAATGGGGTGCTGCCTGGTAGAGGCTACCCTGGACTCTGTTCACTGTGTTCCTCACATCGTGGTGGACAGACAGTAAACATTAATACGTTCCAGTTTCACCCCAAGGGCTTCACTGCACCTTTGAGGTGCATTAATAATAATGATGAAGAAAAAGAATCCATATAATATATTCATGCTGAGCACTCCTTTTATAGTAGCTGCATATTGGGCTAACATATTGATTTATATGCTACACTGAATTACTTTAAAATGTCTTTGTCTTTGCAGCTGTGTGCTATGGGAAGGGAACCTATTTTGCTGTCGATGCTTCCTATTCTGCCAATGACGTATACTCCAAGCCAGATGTCAATGGGAAAAAGCATATATATTATGTGCGGGTTCTCACTGGGAACTACACAAATGGAAACTCGTCACTGATTGTGCCTCCTTCAAGGGATCCTCAAAATCCTACTGACTTGTACGACACTGTCGTAGATGATGCTCAAAAGCCAAGTATATTTGTAGTGTTTTATGACAATCAAGCATATCCAGAGTATCTTATCACGTTCAGGTGGTGACACTTCAGGGCATCTTCCAAGAGAAATTCAAGTTCATGTATCTGCTGCAAGACAATTTTTGGCTGTTTTCCTCCTCAAGCTTTCTGTAAGAGCACAAGGTCTTTTTCATGGACATGCCATGGACATGTTTCCTCAGCTGCTCCTCCATGATGGGAATGAATCTACTTGAGACCCAATGAACTTGAGAATTCAAATCAGATAACAGCTGTAGCCGTGCTGTCTCAGATGTGACAGTAACACCCTTAAGGACTTTCTGGAAGCCACGCAATCCCAGCTGCCACCAGTGGAATCATGTCGGAGCGCAATGGTGCCGTGGAGACGCACAGTTTCATGGACCCAGTAAGGCTGGTATCTGTCAACTGAACAGATTCCACAGCAGAGAACATCTTTCTTCACCAACAACCCTGTGCCATGTGGCTTGGACAGCTCCAGCCAGGGCTGTGTACAGACTGGGTGCTGGGATGTGGCTCATGGTCTGTGTGAACTGAGCCCCAAGGAGGGGCATGGCTCAGAAGCCCTGGCCCCAATTGCCAGAGGCCCTTTTTAATGTTAATCCCACTGTTCTGGCTACCTAGTGAAATCACTTGTATGATGCCTGTCACATCTCCAGGAGAAGCCCTTCACTATGAGTGAACTCTGAGGATATCTGCTAGCGTCTTTTCCGTGGCAGGCCAGCTTGTGAAGATTTCAAAGCTTTATGTGTAAGCCAACTAGTCAGATTGCCAACTTACTAACTCAGTGTCTACTGGATGGTAATTCTTTCTTGTGGTACTGGGGACTGAACCCAGGGCCTCACACATGCCAGGCAAGCACTCTACTACTGAGCTACACACCCCAGACCTCTTTACTTCTTATTTTGAGGCAGGCTCTGGTTAGTTGCCCAGGATGACTCTTATACCCCTCTATAACTGTGGCAGGCCTTGAACTCACTCTCTTCCTGCTTTGGCTACTTGTTGGAGGGCTGTGCCACCACACCTGACTTAAGTTCTTTTAATTTTCTCCCGAAAACTTCAGCCTCAATGCCATTTATTGAGTGCCTAGACTTTGCCAGGGAGAGTGAGAGATGAGCTTACATCCATGATTTTGTTCCCATGAATAGTGCTATGGGAAGAAGTTTTCTATATTTCAAGGCAAAGGGAACACATTTAGAGTACAAGAAACGTCCTTGCCTGCAGTCACCAAGGCGGGAACTCTCAGAGCCAGCCAGCTGAGTCTTGGTGTTGGTGTTGAGCCCTTCACAATTCCCCCCATAGAACCTGGCCTTGAGATAAGCAAGTGCTGTTTCGGCCATCATTCAGTGTCTGTCACACAGGGAAATCAGTGAGTGGCCAATACTCAGAGTTCATCACATGGTGGTCATTACACAGCGGCCGTTACTCAGTGGGGAATATCTCAGGTGATCTGTGAGGCAACCCAAGATTTTTCCAGCTTTTTTCTTTCTGGATTTTGTGTCCACTCTACTCATTAGGAGTTCTATAGACAAGGAGCTGGTGCTGTGTGACATCCTCGGGTGTTACACTCCTGAGTAGTGGGAGAATTAAGTCGCTGGTTCCCACGATGAGGATTACAATGGGCTTCAAGCAGAGCAAGGGGTCACCATTGCTGTCCCAATGACACAGAGGCCTTGGAACCTACGCTGTTGTTCATAAGTGGACTAGCACAGACTGGCTTAGGAGGGCCTGGCTTCCCCTGCACTGGCTTCTGGACTCAGTACTGACAACAGTCTAAGGAAATGCAATAGAAGTGAGAGGCTGTTTTCATCTGCTCTAGTTCCCCAGTGGTTTGGTTAACTCAGGGCAAGGCTGAATAGCATTTGTCACACTGAAGAATAAGGACCCAACCAGCATATGTTACAGTTACCTTCAGATTTGAAAAACGTCTCTCAGTAGAATCATTTTTCTCCTAAAGAGCAAACATGGGGCCATGGGTGTGTGTGTGTGTGTGGAGTTCAATGACATACAGTGGCTACTGCTGATTTAAAAAAAGCCACAACTGAACAGGACAGTGCTGAATGATCCTTAAGGTTCAGGTGGAAATTACTGGAAGGGCACAATGCACTTTAAGGTAGAAATCCCGTATCCAAGGAGCAGCCAGCCTGGAGCCCCAGTCACGTCTTGATAACTCACTGTAGGGCCACACGGGTCGCGTGTGCCTTGGTCACCTGAGGGGTGTGCTGAAAGCTCAAGCTGAGGTGCCACTTCATGCACCCCAGATTGTGCTCTCAGTGGGCATCTGGAAGATTCCAACAGCCCTGACACCCAGGGCCACACCAAGACTTTGGTACTTTTGCCTTTGTAGTCCCTTAGTGCATAAACACAACTAAAACCTAAACTTGGGGGCTACAGAGAAGGGCTCGGTGGTTAAAAGCACTTGCTGCTCTTGCAGGGGACCTCGGCTTGTTTCCCAGCACCCACATGGCAGTACATGACCACCTGCAACTATAATTCCAGGGAGCCAATGCCCCCTTCTGGCCTCTCAGGGAACTGCACAGATGTGGTACACATATACAGTCAGGCAAATACACATATTAAATTTAAAAAAATCTTTAAAAAAATCCAGACTATACAACTATACTAACTACATCCACAGATATCATCAAGCCCTGCTGAAGTTATTTTAGTAAAAAAATAAACAAATAAGCAAAAAACAAAACTGGGCGGTGGTGGCCCACCCCTTTAATCCCAGCAGCACTCGGAAAACAGAGGCAGGTGGATCTCTGTGAGTTTGAGGCCAGCCTGGTCTACAAAGCTACACAGAGAAACCCTGTAGCCCTGTCTTCAAAAACCCCAACCAACCAACCAACCAACCAATCAAAAAATACCCAACTCAAACAACAACAAAAAACCTGAAACATTTTCACAGAGCCTTGAAATCAAAGTGAGCCCTAGCCACCATACCTACTGAAAACTAGGTGGGTGTTAGCCCTGCTGACTCACATACACCTCGGAGCAGGACACTACAGGAATGTGTGGGCTCTGTTGGCCTCTGCGCAGCCCAAGTACTTACTGACCAGTTGGTATTACTCAGGTGAGGTCCTCTAGAGGCAGGATGGTATGGGAGCCAGGTCATGCTAGCTTTCACTGCGCTCACCCTTTATCTCTCAACAAAAGCAGGGCATCCCCTCCCGTCACCCGCCTTTACCAACGTCTGTCTGAACTTTTCCCAGGTCTTTGTACAACATTCCTCCTCACAGAATTAAAGACTTCCCTGCAGAAGAGTCCCCAAGCTTTGCCCAGCCCAGCCTACAGTGAATCCATTCTGTCAGTCCCATGCCTTCAGAGAACCTAAAATGCATCGTGAGAAACATTTTTCTGAGTTTCACCAAATAACACCCATGCTTGAAACCAAAATGTTTTTGTTCCCTTTAAAGTCAGAAGAAAGCTGTAACCCAGCCCCGAGGTTATTGGTGCTTATAACACAGCTGCTGAGAACACGGAGACGCTCCAGACCTGGCTGCACGGGACACCGAACGCTGGGCTTGTATGGATTCAGGCATTATGCTGGCCTACCTGTCACCTGCCAGAATGCACTCAGGCAGTACCCTGGTCAGCCCAGGGTTCCATGGTTGCGTAGTGTGAATGCAGGTGCAAAGGACCCCTTTAAAAGAAAGACCCCACTCATTTATGCTCTTTCCACCGTTCCCCTGGGGCACTCAGGACTCTTCCTGTCTCCCCCTCTTCTGTCCTCCGTCTCTTTACCTCTTTTTTCCCCTTCCCCACCCTTTCCCTTTCAAATAAACCTTCCAAGTTCTGGCATGTTTGTCCCCGTCCTTGGCCAACCTCTCCTGCCATGGAATCCACCAAGGTTCCCCACGTGCATTATCATCACAGGGATGGTTCTCGAGTTATCTATTCTTTTCTACCCTATTCCATACAGACCTGAGCCCTTCTGCCTGCTTCAGTGACCCACAGCTGAGTCATGTATAACAAACCAAAAAAGCACCTGAAGAAAAAGAGATCTGTGTCCTCCGTGGAGATAAACCTAAGAAGAGCAAACTGAGCGCTAGCCACAGCACATGCCATGTCAGGGGTACTAGTGGACCATTGCCTATACCTCTCTCCCTTGTCTGCCTACTCAGAGTTAGCTTCCTTGTTCCTTATGGGCTCAGCACTGACCCAAGTTCTGTGAGCGAAGCAGGAACCGCTACACTCCCTAGGAAGGAGGATCTCTGTGAGTTCAAGGCCAGCCTGATCTACAAAGAGAGTAGAGCTACCAACACAGTAGAACCCTTACTCAAAACAACTCCCCACCCCCCAAAAGAAAGAAACAGGGAGGAAGAGGGGTTGGAAGAGCCAGAGGTCAGGGAGGAAAGAGGCAAACAATGTGTTTTGGATTGTACAGGACAGAATTGTTGTACCTATGGACTTGGCAGCTGTGGTGTGGCTGCCTGTACAAGGGCAAGCCGGTCACTATTTCTTTTTTAAGATTTATTTATTTCCTGTGCATTGGTGTTTTGTGTGCATGCATGTCTATGTGAGGGTGTCAGATGCGTCCTCTGGAAAAACAGCCAGTGCCAACTCTCCAGCCTCTGCCAGTTGGGCCCCTAGTAAAGGAGCTATTGAGAGTTGATGGTTGTTTTGGGAAGGAAAGTCAGTTTTCTGTAGGCGTGTAGCCCCTGGGAAGGCTAGCCAAGGCCCAGTGGATGGCCCTACACTATATGCATATGGGTGGCAGTAGCTGAACTTAAAGTGTTGAAAAACAAGAAAAGAAAATAAAGTTTGGAGGGGGAGGAAGGGAACTTAGGAGAATCTGGAGGCAGGCAATGCAGAGTTGATACGATGAAAACATACTTTATACACATATCACAGCCTCAAAGAGTAAGTAAAAAAAAATACTATAAAAAACAAATACATGTATCATACTAGTTCTAAAAACATATTTTAAAATTTTATTTAAAACAATCTGTTAGAATCATAAACTTTTTCCTTGTATCAAAAGCTGGGCCACCATCCTGGTTACTTGTGGATTCACCAAGCAGTCCAGCAAGTCATCTGTGGACACAAACGTTCTAGAAGGTGCCACAGGACACCTTGAGGTGACCTGCTCCGCCGCTGCACTTGCCCCTACACTAGTCTGTCGCCTGCCAGCACAGGACAGTTCTGCAAAGTGTCCTTTGTCTCTGTCGATGCATTCTCTGCTGTCACTTCCCAGTGCGCCTCCCTCTCCCGAAGGCCGATCGTCCGATGCTGGTGTCACAGGAACCAGGTCTGGGCCGAACTGACTAGCGAGCTCCCGTTTCCGGGTCCTCGCCATGAAGCTCCGGCTGTGTGCCTGTCCCACATCCATGTGATCCTTCACACTTGGCTCTTCCTTCCTCCAGTTCTCCCCGTTCCCTCGCAGTGCTTGCGTCTCTACTTTAGCTTTTCCACAACGATCAAAAAAAGCACAAACAGCATCATTCAAGTAGCAGCAATTGACTTCATGAGATGTGTCTTCAACCTAAGAAGAAGAATGACCCTTCAGAATGCACTGAGCACAAGTGGGAACCAACACTCTATCCTAGACCAATGGATTCACCATCAAAATCCAAGCGCCAGGATGGGAACCTGGCCATCCTACCTCAGTGGGGTTCAGCCAGGCTCTGGGGTGGTGTGGGTCTTCTGCAGTCTTCAGGGCACACACAAGCATGCGAGTGATAGCCTCTTCCACCCGGGCTAGGTGGTCCTCTTCCTAAGATGACATAAAAAAGATGACATGAAAAAGACAAAGTTGCCATTTTGTTATCTCTATTGCCCTGCTTTTGGCCGGGCATTGGTGGCACACACCTTTAATCCCAACACTCTGGAGGCAGAGGCAGATCTCTGTGAGTTCGAGTCTACAGATCAAATCCTAGGACAGGCTCAAAAGCAATACAGAGAAACCCTGTCTGAAAACAAAACAAAACAAAACAAAAAGAAAAGACAACCAATTCCTGAACAGAGTCAATCAATGTCTCTGTGCCCCATACATTAAGATAAGAGGCTTTTTTAGCTGTATACTCTGTTCCCCCTCTGATGCTAACTAACTTTGTCACACAAGGAACAGTGTGCTTCTGGGAGCACTGGAACTTTCGTGTGCTCATTATCATCTGCCATCTATCAGAGTGCAGGAAGGTGGTGCACCAAAATTAAGAATGCCTATTTTTAGAAGACACAGGCCTTATGTATAGATGGCCCTGAATAATATTTTTCCTAATCTTTTCCACTCCTTGGTATGCCCAATGTTTTTAAGTATTAAACACATGGAATAATGACTTTTATGGAGTTGGAAAGCTAGTCATGTGAAAAGTAGGAGAACGAGGCGGCTAGGCTGTGGTGGAGGTTGTCACACAGGGGTAGAACACATGCCTGTCCACACAGGGGCCTGGACTAGATCCCCCAACATTCGGGTGGGGTAGGGGAGAGGCTGGGCATGGTGATGCAGGTCTGTAGGGTGAGATGGGAGACTGCTTGGAGTTTGGAGTCTGAAATCTCTTGGATATGCTGATGGGCTGGAGGCCCATCTGAGGCTACTCTAGGTTACAGTGAGACTGTGTTTCAGAAAATAAAACAACAAAAAGTGGCTGAACATCGAAGCACAGCTTCTTAATAAATAAGGGGTATATCATGCAACATTACTGATAAGTACAATTAAAACCAACAACTTCTATTGCTTAAAAAACAGAGCAAGAAAAAAGAACTGTGGTTCCCTGAAAGAGTACCACATGCTGCTGACTGCTGGGCTATTGCTCCAGCCCTTGATACTATATTATCTTTAATCTCACAAATATGTCACATATACACTCTCTTTATATGTACAGATATAATAATACAAAGGCATATCAAAGGAGAAATTCAAAGAATGAGAGGAAATGTTTAGTATTCAAGTTTTTTTCTCAGCTAATTTGAAATAAAATACTGCTACAACAGATCCTTCTTGGTATGCAAAAATAATGATGCAAAAAGGGAAGGGAGGTGCTACTTAGAATATCCGAGAACACACCTACCCCAGAGCAGGAAAGGGCAGAATCTGCATTTCAGCAGTCAAACCAAGAAGGACTAAATACTGGACCACCTGCACCCAGCTAGAGCCCATTAGTTACCATCTACAAGACTTGGGACAGGAACATCAGAAGGAGTTAGAAATGCTAATTAATTTATGCTTCACAACCATGCTCCTGAGCTGGGCTCAGTTACCATCACTGTTCTGTAACTAAGGAAACTGAACTGGCCTGGAATGAACCATCTCCTGGGGATATGGGGTATGGCCGGTGTGAGTCTTGCAGTGGACTCCATCTTACATTTGCTCCAGCTGCAGCTCCAAGTAGACTTTCTGCCTGTGAGGCTGCTATCTCTCAGCATACTGTCACCTAAGCCCCAGAGGCATGTGTTCCCTCTGCCCTAAGCCCTAACTACAGCTTGCTTCCTGTTCAGGGATTCTCAGGCTCTGCCTACTCCAAAGCCCCTCCCATAACCAAAGGAAAGGCCTCACCAAGGGGAGGACACAGTTTCCAAAAGAGCAATGTCAGGCTTCGGGTTAAGGAGGGCAGTTATGTAACCAGAGCCCTAAAGATACAATGCAGTTAAAGACAGGCAGATGCTACAGAGGCTCCTGGTGAAGAGACAGACTTGAGCCTGACAGCTATTTTACTGTCAAACAGAACAGGGAACCAGGATGAAGCTGTTCCTGGGAAGAGACAGAATATAAATGTAAGAATATAGCGCTGCATCATTCTACTTTGAGACAATGCTTATGTCAAGGTTAGAAATTGTTGGGGCCTATAAAGATAGCTCTGCTTCATCTTGACTAAGGTCAGAGAGTTCAAAACTGTCCTTGGTTTTCCCAAGTTAGAGTCATAAGGACCTAAAAGTCTAAGGTGTGGCTACTGCAGGGTGTCTGATCTTGGTAGTGGAATGTCTTATTTAAATAACAAATACTTGGTCTTGTCCCTCAAGGCTAGATAACAGGAAATTGAGTCTAAGGTGTGGTTACCAAATGTTTGGAGAATTAAGGGAAGAAAGTCTGTTAGTTCCTTATACATGATAAAGAAGTCTTTTGCCGTGTTCCCCTTTTGGTTGGGGAACTTGAGAACCTTGAAGAATAAACTTGGGGCATCCAGTATTCACTGGATTGCCCTCCTGACTCTATCTTGTGTCTCTTTTAGTATCTTTGCTGCTGTTTCTCAATCCATACTCCCTCTCTCAGGTACAAACTGGAAAAGTTGGCTGGATCTGACTGAAGCCCCAAAATGATGGGCTACAACAAGAAATGAGGACCCTGAACCAGGAAACATTTCCCTTTGTGATGGAGTGGGATGGAACCAGCAATGATAGGCATGTGCTGCAGACCCCGCCAGGCCCTGATACCACTTGAGGGAGCCATCAACGTCAAGGCCACTGTGTGTCATCTCAGGGAGCAGCCAGACACAGTAGCATTTGTGCCATGCCAGTATTTGGGAGGCAGTGGCAGGAGGACTGGAGTTTGAGGCCTATGTAGAGATACGCTGCTTCAAAGAAAACACAACCAACTCAAGTCAAACAAGGATGGCACATCTCCAAAATTCCTATCTCCAACTTCAATACTTAACAAGTGAGAATAGAATCACAGAATATAGGGACAAAATCATCCTGGCCACACAGAATTGGTGACTCAATTTTGTACACAGACTTTGCTTATCTTAGGGATTTTTTTTTTAAAGGTTTAACAACAAAAAAGTACCAGCTCAATCCAGGAGTTTATACTGACAGTGACAGGATCAATGGATTCCACATAATGCCACCAGTGTCTGGGGACAAACAGAACCTGAAAACCAAACAAAAATTAGTTAGCACAAGAACAGGGCATTTCTCACTTTAACTGGGTCTGCTTAAGGGGGGAGGGGGGAGACATGAATGGATCAAGGGACTAGAGTAAAGCGGGGGGGGGGGGGGTGTTGTGAGGTTGTGAGGGGGTGGGTTCCTCCTGTAACTGGTGCCCTTAAGGGCTTAGAGGGCTTTCTGCTTTTCTTAATCCTGTGATTTCTCTGTTTACATCTGAGTTCTAGTAAAGGCTCTGCAATTCCAGCTTTTCCTCTTTCACACTGCAAAGCAGCTGTGCACTTTATGAGGGAAGGAAGCATGCACCGTGGCTCCTTTACCCACTGGAAAAGTTCCCAGAGTTACAACAAAGGTGGGGAGCGCTGGGAGGAACACAGCAAGCAAAACCCTCAGACATCGCTGGTGGGGACGTAAATGGCCACTGCAGAGGACACTGCAACCTCTCAAAGGGCCAGTCACAACCACCTGAACCACCTGGCCTACCTAAACACCCACAGACCTTATAAACAAATGTTCATGGCAGCAACACCCATTCATAACAGCCACGAAACAACTGTGGAGTGGATCATTATGGCACACCTACATAATCAGGAACTGTTCAGCCTTGAAAACAGTCTGCATCAGAAGCCAGACAAAAGGCCATATAGTGTATGGATGCATGTGTGATGCCCAGAGTAGGAAAAAACACGGAGATACAAAGTAGAGTAGTGGTTGTCGGGGCTGGAGGAGGCTTGAAGGGCAATGTGCCCTGTTCAGAGACTGAAGCAACTGGACCAGGTCCATCTTGTGAACTGGTAGGACATGTGTGACGAGAGCAGGAAGAGAGCTAGCAAGGAGGGAGAAACGGAGGGAGGACTGGACAAGGATGAACGAGGGAATGAGTTCTCTGAGAGACCAAGGAAATCTTTCAAAAGGTAAGAAACTGGCACAGCAAGTGCCAACGTTGTAAAGGAAATTTTCCCCACGGGGTGGTAACGGGAAAATAAGTCTCTTTAGAAGTGATTCAGATGTCGTCGGCCATTCTTGCTGAAAAGCAAAGACCATCTCTGAGGGCCAGGGTGCACTGTAGTCTGTGCTGGCCATCTAGTGGAACAGGTGAATAAATGTCCTAGTACCCAGGCCCGCAAATGATCTCTTAACCTGAGTAATAATAATGGCTTTGCCAGCTGTCTTCCTCAACACCTATTCTCTTTGCCAGCAGGAGGAGCTGTGTTCCCTCTTCCCACCTCTCCAGGGCCGATCTGTGGGTCTCGGGCGGCAGCAGCAGGCAGGGCTGCAGGGAGGAAACCATTGTCATCTGTTCTGAGGAAAGCACAGGCAGCAGGCGGTGGTGTCCGCTGACAGGTCATCCAATGTTTAAAGCCCCATTACCTGTCCTGGGTTCAGCGTGACCGTATGTCTTCGAGCTTTCTGGAACCGAGGGAAACGCTTTAAATCAGGGTTGACGACATTGATTTTACTGAATACACTAGACTCTTCGTAAGGGATTCTGGTTGGATAAAGGAAAGGCATATCTTCTGGAGGAAAGAGATGCCATCTTTTCCTAATGAGAAAATAAGATACAAGTTAAAGCTCTCCACTTGAGATAAAACATGTAAGAAGGCAGCAGACCAATGCCTGGTCTCACTAATTTAAATTCAGCTCATAAAGGAACACAGGCACCATCACAATGGTCTCCTGGCCTCTCACAGCTGATCCCCTGCAGATGTCGGGTGGAAGGCAGCTCTCTGGCGGGTTTCTCATGCCCTCCTGAGGCAGCCCCTCTCAATGCAGGGATAGGATCTCCTTTGTAAGATGCCTTTTTTTTTTTTTTTTTTTTTTTTTTTTGCCTCTTATATCAAAGCTTGCTTCTTTGCCACTGCTTTAACTTCTAACCCTGAAGCTAACTAGAATAGTCTTTATCTTCATTTTTTTTTTTTGTGGTGTATATATGTGTGCTATGTGTTTTACGTGACATACAGATGCATGAGCATGTGTGTGAAGGCTAGAGGCTGACCATGGTGTCTTCCTCATCATGCATTGCCTTAACTCTTTCCCCCCTGGTCTATGAGATATAGTTTCATTATGTAACCTCATTGTCTGTTTTAGAACTTGCTATAGAGAATTGGGGTGTCTGGCTGGGAGTCAAAACCTCTATGTTCCATCCTGACTTTTCTGCCCAGTCCTACTGTTCCTAGTTTGCAGGGTGCTCTGCTTTCTGGGGGCCATGTCCCTTCCATCTGAGTGATATAGACACCCACTCTGCTTCACACCACACACAACAGTGATCCTCCTGCAGAAGCGCCAGCTCTTCCATCATTCAGTTTCAATGCTCTGAAGCCTCCCTCAAAAGCAAGCACCCTCCCTTCATCTCTCTGTGATGCAGACACCCCAGCTGGAGATGCTCTCCGCACAGAGTCCTTCTGCACTTACTCTAAAACATGGAACTTGCTGGAACGCAATGGATGTTTACTAAAGGTATTTTATTACATCAGAGTGCCATGAAAATGGAAAATACACTGTTAGACAGCTACAGTAAAGCTATATTTTTTAATCAAAGAAAAAACTGGATTTTTTTTTTTTTTTGCTTACTTCCCAATTCAGAGCACAGAGAAGAAGCAATTTAAAGCAATGCCCTATTGAATCACATTTCAGTTCCCAAGCTCTTATGTGTAGAAGGGCAGAGAAACTCATACCAGACACCCTGCTGACTCCCTGCATACAACAGTGTACACAAAGGTTAGCCTTCAGCAAGGACTTACTGAACCTCCTAGCTTCCCAGCTGACATGCATCCATCCTCCAAACACATACTATTTCCCTCAGATCCACTCATCGCTTTTTGTGTCCAGTGGGAATTTGTTTGTGGCCATTTCTTCCATTTCCTATGAGTTGCCCTTCAAATGTTGCAAAGGGAAGTTTAGGGCACCAAATATTAGGACCCGGCAGTTGTGGTGGCACACACTGGCAGGATTTGCTGAAGGAGGTGGAGGCAGGAAGATCACTAGTTCAGTGCCAGCCTGGGCTACACAGGCTGGGCAGTGGTGGTACACACCTTTAATCCTAGCACTAGGGAGGCAGAGGCAGGCGGATCTCTGAGTTTAAGGCCAGCTTGGCCTACAGAGTGAGTTCCAGGTCAAGCTCTAAAGCCATAGGGAAACCCTGTCTCAGAAAAAAACAAAACACAAACAACAACAACCCTGACAAACAAACAAAAAACGTGTGACCCAGGCTTTCCAGCTCCTGTCAGCATCCAAAAGGACACTTCGAAAAAGCCTCCTTCTTCTTCCAACAAACTTCTCTGTTATTGCTTGAGAGGTGGAATGTGAACACTCCCAGGTAAAACAGTTAAGCAGAGCGATGTCTAGCAGGACGGGGGCCTCTGGGGGAATCCTGATCATGGCTGAGACACATGGAAAACATTTCATGTCCCCTCACTTCACACAGAAGGAAACTGCACAGTGGTGAAGGGAAGAGTGCCTTGGTCACGGGGCTGGTGGGCGGATGGGGGTGGGGCTGCTACCTGACCCCACCCTCTCTTTCCTTTTCTTGTACGAATTTGTGTGTGCAGATGTACAAAACTGAACACATGCATGTGTGCATATGCTCGCACAAAAACACATGCACACGCGCGCACACACACACACACACACACACACACACACACACATTACCTTCCTTGTACCTGGAATACTAAGTTGCAACCATAGGAGTCCAGATGACAGGGAGTATGGGCTCCCAGGGAGCCGATCCACAGTGTACTTTCCTGTCCATTTCTTCCAGGAAACCCAAAGTCAGACCACATCACCTCCTGTTTGAAAAAAAAACATACAGTCCATCAGGAACTGACCATCCTCTACAGTGACACTGTTTCTAGTGCATATATATATATATACATATATATATATATATATATATATATATATATATATATATATTTTTTTTTTTTTTTACAGAAAATGCCAGAGATGGAGGGGTTAGATTTTCATGGTAGTATAGGAAAACTTTTCAACCAATAATACCTGAACAACCTCAGTAGTAGCAGCCATTCAACAAATGCTTGGTATTTATAATAGTCCAGGAACTGTTTTGGGAGCCTGTGGCAAATCAATGAATAAATTAGGCCCACCAGGTAGAACTCTGTAGCTACCCGGGGTCAAAGCAGTGCAGGCAGTGGGAAAACCATGGAAGTTCAACTCAGGAGGCCTCAGGCCTTTCAGCAGAGACAGCGTCTGTGGGCACAAGCACTTTATTACCCCTTTGCACTTTGATGGCCATGTAAAGGAAGCCTTATGGGTGAGCTCAGTCTCTTAAAGCTACCAGTACTACAGAACCTTAGCTCATGCCCACTAAACCAGTCTCAAGCAGGTGGGCCGCAGAATGGCTTTTGGAACAGTCATTCATAGGTGACTGAGTCTGCGCTCTCATGGCCAAGGTGCCCAGGCGGGCCCTGCCCACTCATAAGCCGGAAAGAAAATGAAAAGAAGAACGGCTAGTGGCACAAGCATGCAAATGTTGGTGTATTCTTCAATCATTAATTTGTCCTTTCAGTTTTTTAAAAGAATGAAACAAAAATGGGCATCATATTCACAGACATGCTAGTATCTCAAAAAACAAAAACAAAAACCCACTATCTGCAACCCCAACTCTCCTACTTTTGAGGGGAAATGTTAACAGCTTTATTCAAAGAGAAAAGATTTTAAAAAGACATTCAATGGATGGTTTTGAGGAAGACTAGAAAAACATTTTATTTTAAGTGATGAAACAGTAGGTTGGTCAGGGATGTCCAAGAGACTCCCAAAACATGATAAGCTGCTGTTACTGCTCTTGGTTGTGACTCCGGAGGCAGAAGCTAAATCCCCATTGCTAAAGACACATATATGTAACACAGTTAAAGAAAAAGAGGCTATGCATTTGAAGAAGAGAAAGGAGGGGTATGTGGGTGGGGTTGGAAAGAGGAAAGGGAAGGGGGAAATGATGTAATTATATTATAATGTGAGCTATTTTTAAAAAGGAGTGAGGTTTTTTTTTTTTTTAGGAAAAACGTAAGTGGAATGCTTTGCTATGTTTTAATGATGGGTTGTGCAAGGATGAAAAGTCAATTATGGCTTTAAAGTTTGGCTTAAGTTCTTAAGATAGGGTCCCCAGAAAACATCCAAATGTAAAGATGGTGGGAGTAATACAATAAAGGAGATGTCTAGAGTGAGATGGGACTGCCACACAAGGGTGTTTCAAGCGGCTGGGGAGATGGCTCACTCAGCAGTGTTTGCCATACAAGCATGAGGACCTGAAGCTAGGCTTGGTAACCCACATGTAATATCAACGTTGGGGAGGCGGAGACCGTAGAAACCTAGGACTCTCTGGCCAGTCAGCTTTACCTAATCTAGGAACTCTAGACCAAGTGAGAGGCAGAGTCTCAAAAAAAACAAATCAAGTCGATTATACCAGAGGAATACTCAGTGTTGACCTTTGGTCTCCACCCCTCCCCCAACATATGTTCACAGGTACCTGCATAAGCATGTGCTCGCCTATGTATGTGTTTCATGGTAATGTCTCATGAATAGAAGAGCACTGTTCATTCACAGGTAATATAAGATGGGACAAATTATAAACAGGTTAGCCAATGAAAACAGCCTGGTTTATAACACAGAAGTAGGGCAGACCCTGCTCTTCTGTCTCTTTGGATGACCCTGCTTATCATGGTGTTCTGAGTATAATATGTGATTTATACATAATGATGGTTTTATTTGGTATGGACATATGTAGTTCAGTTTCTCAAAGAAAGATTCTAAAGCAGGACTAACACCTCTTTAACACTGGCAAAGGTAAGCATTCATAGGGGAGACACTGCTAAAACACTAAGAAGTAGCAAACGGTGGTGGTACATGCCTTTAATCCCAGCACTCGGGAGGAAGAAGCAGGCAGATTTCTGTGAGTTCAAGGTCAGCCTGGTCTATTGGGTGAGTTCCAGGACAGGTTCCAAAGCTACACAGAGAAACCCTGTCTTAAAAAACAAAACGAACAAACAAACAAAACACTAAAAAGTATTTGGAAACTGTGCCCCCTCTCCATCTGTTTTCCTTTTCAACTTAATTCCTTTCAGGTAAAATTTAAATATGCTGAAATGTACCGTTCTCGAACAGAGTTCTCCACACCTGACAAATATAGACAACAGTTAACTGGCACAGCAAAGACCAGTCACCCGTCTATTACTCCCAAAGCTGTCTCTTTCTCTGGGGAAGGCAATCCTCCTGTTTCTACATCCAGGTCAAAGTAATAGTACCGGGCAACTGGATTTTTCTAGATACATATACCAACAATGAGAATCTACACTGACTATTTATTCATTTAAAATTTTTTTCATTTATTTATGGTGTGTGAAGGACAGAGTACAATTTGTGGGAATCAGTTCTCTCTCTTTACCATGTGGGTTCTGTGGATGAAACTCAGGTCATCAGACTTGGCAGCAGGTACCTTTAGCACAGTGATCTCTGGCTCACCTTTCTTACTTAAAGGTTCTCTACCCCACAATAGCACCTGAGCCTTAGGGATGGTAGTATCAATATCCTATTTAGGACTGCCAACCCTAACTGTTTCAGAACTGTGAGGACTCCTAGGGAGAGGCAGGCCTTATTTTCATCATGTATCTGCTAAGGAGCCCACCAAACCCATGCTCACACAGATGATCCTGGTTAAACTCAGTGGGGCTCGAAAAACATAACTTCTTCCAAAATAAAAAAACAATGCAATGTGGGCAGGAATTTAAGGGGGGGAGGTAAATAGGAGTATGATGCAGATTAGAGAGGTTTTGGGAAATATATATATATATATATATATATATATATGTGTGTGTGTGTGTGTGTGTGTGTGTGTGAAATTGTCAACATATTTTTGTTAAAAAAGTAACCTCATTGGGAGGCAAAGGTAGGCAGATCTCTATAAGTTCAAGACCAGCATGGCCTATATAGATATAGATATAGATATAGATATATATAGAGTACATTTCAGGATAGACATAGAGAAACCCTGTCTCAAACAATAACAACAAAAGCAAGCAAATGAAAGGCCCTTAACACATCAAACAACTGAGACTTTACAACTACAGTAAAAAATAAGAAAGTATGCTTCAATATTCTTGACAGTGTACTGAATTCCTAAACTACTACCAAAATTTAAGTGACAAAATAATAATTAGAAAGTACGCTGAGTTCTGGCAGAAAACACACTCTTTGATCGAGTCTTGGTCCTATCTCTGCATAGACTTTCAACATGGTCTTTTTGGGGTTTCTATTGCTGTGATAAAAATATGACCAAAGCAACCCGGAGAGGAAAGAATTTATTTCACCTTACACTTCCAGGAAAGAGTCCAGCACCAAGGAAGTTGGGGCAGGAGATGAAGCCAAGTTTATGGAGGGGTGCTGCTTACTGGCTTGCTTAGCCTACTTTTGTACACCCCAGGACTACCAGCCAAGGGTGGCAACCTCTCCCACATCAGTCATTAATCAAGAAAATGCCCCCCCCAGCCCCATTTTATGGAGGCATTTCCTCAACTGAGGTTCTCTCTTCTCTGATGACCCTAGCTTGTGACAAGCTGACATAAAACAAGCCAGGGCAAGTGCCATGACCATGACAGCTCAGTCTCTCATTAAGGTGACTTCTCCAATACCGCTTAAAAACTGCTGGGTTACTCATAGGAGCTTCTGAGTCTATTAGATTTTTTTTTAACGTGTTTTGTTTGTTTTGACAGGGTTTCCTGGCTGTTATGGAACTCCCTCTTTAGACAAAGATGGCCTCAAACTCAGATCCACCTGTGTGCCTGTCTCTGCTAAGGTTAAAGGCATGTGCCACCACGTCCAGCTCTTAAATAGCCCTTAAACCTATCCCACTGAATGAGTTCAATAACCATACTCCATTTAAAAACTGCTGTACACATAATGAAGTCATCCATATTTTTACAACAACAAAACACTAAAGAAAACCTGGTAGACCCTTATAAAGCAGAATGACAACTTCTGTTAGTCTACCACAAAATTCAATACCCTCCCTCCCCCCCAAATTAAAAACCCAAGATTAAATGTCTTAGTTTCATAGGGTATTTCCATGCTCTTTGTTCCCAGCCTCACATTATAGATAGTTGTCTACAGCCCAGAGTTTAAATGAGCTGATGCTAACAGCCCATCACTGGACTCCGAATGCCTCCACTCAGGAATGTTCCTTCTGTCACCCTTAGCGTCACGTCTCATGCTAGTCATTTTCCACTCACAGGTCATAATATAGAAAATCCATTACACAGGATTCCACTTACATCTGAATAAGAAATTTAATGTTGCTCAAGAGCAATAAAACTGGAACTCTGAAAAATAACAGGATTGTTAACTATCATTAATATAAAGAGTTTAAGTTCTCTTTCTTCCTCGGGAAAATGACCTAAATTCTATTTTCTACTTTTTAATCATGTGAATTCTGAGGTGCCACTACGTCTCACCAGGAGGCACCCCTGTCTGAGACTCGTTTAATCATTTCCAAAACACCTGCTTCCATTCCCACAGATCCTCACAGCTAGGCCACAAAGTCCAACAGGTCTGAACTAATCTTCCAGTTATTGCTTTTGCAGATTCTATATCCTGGTGACTTAATGAGGCTCCTGACTCATAGCCAGCCTCAATCCCAACGTGAAATAGAATCTACCCAGAAGACATTCTTGGAGGACAAAATCCCTTTATTATATTCTGATTTCTTCACAGTCTCAATTTTAAGTACGCTTATCAATAACTCCAAGAGATATGGGCGACGTTTCCCACAAGTTCCCTTTCTTTCCAAAGTAGCTGAGACAAAGTGTTCAGACATGCTTAGCTGAGTCAATGGCCTTAATGGGTAACTAAAAGTCAATAAGACTAATTCTGTCACACACAAAAGTCAGGTGAGTGTCAAAAAAACTTCAGGCTACCTGCAAGACTACCAGGTAATTTCCAATTATATCAGTACATTTACCATTTATTTGTCAATATATAAATATGGCATGTTTAACAGAGACTTAATCTCTTTTATGGAAGAAAGGATTAAGTGCATGGAGACCTTAAAGAGAGGTTGCAAGTGAAAACTTATAAACCTACTAGAAAGCTGAAGAGAGCTAGAAATTTTTTATCAAAATTGACAGATGTTACATCTGGTTAACTAGAAGCCACAGAACATTTGACAAGGATAAAGTCAGGGGTTTAGGTCAAAATGTCCATTAAAGGGTGCTAGAGACTAAGGGAGTATGTAATCATGCAAACACCATTATATATTCAGTACTATGTCAGCAGTTCTGAGAAACAAGTGAAGAACACAGTCAATGTTGTTGAAGGACCAAGACACAATTTTATGAAATACCAGTCCAAACAGAACACAAAAGGATGCTGGCTAGGGATGTATATGTTTAAGTAGCTGAGGTTTCACAGCCAAGGCCAAATCTGAGCTAGTTCCAAGTAGAACTTCTTAGGCAAAATGTAGAGGGTCTGAGAAAACAAAGGTGGGTGAGAACATGGTCTGCCCAGCAGTCAATGAGGAGGCCAGATGGCAGCTCATGCAGACAGAGTGGTTGGGCTAGCGTGCTGGGGAGGGACTTAAGGGCTACCCAGACATATTTTCAAGGCACTGAATCCTTATGAACATGATTAGTATGTTTTAGTATTTAATATTAAAATGACTTGAAGATTATACTTTTCATAAGAAATTACTTTAAAACTAGAGGACACAGTGCCAGAAGAACTGGATAATTATAGAAGCAATGCTAGACTCAAGAGACTCCCTCCCTTTGGCCCTTTTGAGGATCTGTGAGGTCAAAACTATCTTCACAATATCATTAAATTGTTACTTGCCTATTTTACCGTGCTGATACTTGCACTGTGTATAGGCAACAGTGAATAAAACTGCCAGCATCAAGATAGTGCAGTTAAAATTTATTAGTAATATTGTATTTTATCTTTATTTGAGAGCTATCTTTATTTTAGGTGCATGTGTGTTTTACATGTACATATGTCAGTGAACCCAGAGTGTATGCCTGATTCTCAAGGAGGCAAGAAGAGGGCATCAGATCCCCTGAAGCTAGAGTTACAGGTAGATGGTTAGCGCCATGTGGATGCTGGGACTCAAGCGTGGGTCCTCTGGATAAGCAGTCAGTGCTTTTAACTGCTGAACCCCCTCTCCAGCCCCAAGTGTAATATGTTTTTAAAGGTATAATTGGGGTATAATTGATGTACAGCAAACAGCATGAATTAAAGCATTTGATTGATGAACCTGATCTACCTGCATTCTTGAGACTCCGTCAAGATCATCATCAAGATGAAAAACATTCTGACCATGTCCAAAACTTCCCCAGTGTCCCCTCCTGATTCACATCTCCCCACAAACCACATTCTCTGACAACCACCGACCTACTTTGTCACTATAGTTAGTAAGTCCTAGAATTTTACGGAAATTAAACTCTATATGAAACATTTCTTTTGCATGCTAATGTCAATCAAAGACAAACACAGGGTAAATTGAATCAAAAAAAGGACTACACAAAAGTAGATGAGTTTCATCACAATAAAAGGTCACTGATATGAAACAAAACCTGACTGATATAAAATGAGGAAAAGAACTAACAGTGTCCCTCTCTATACTGCAACTAATGAACTTTTAAGAAAATAGTTCACCAGGAGGTAGTGGTGCACACTTTTAATCCCAGCACTTTGGAGACAGGGACAGGCAAGTATTTGTGAGTTTGGGGGCCAGCCTGGTCATAGGGGAGTTCCAGAACAGCCAGGACTGTTACACAGAGAAACCTTATCTTGAAAAAAAAAAAAACAAAAATACAAAACAAAGAAAATAGCCCTTACCAAGTTTGGTGTGATATTCTAAAGAATTCCACAACTGTCTGGAAAAAATGTTAAATACTTCCCTTTTCTCAGATTTGTGTGCTGAGACAAGATTCTCTTCATCTCTTAACAGACCAGCAAATTACAACCACTTTGCTGGAGCAGCAGAAGTGAGAATCCAACTGTGTCCTGTAACCAGGCAGTAAGATGACTTGCAGAAAACGCAAAGCAACCCATTCTTCTAATTGCATTACAGTTCCAAGTATATTCTCTTAGAATATCACTTTCTATTAACATATAATGGGCATATTATGTTATCCATTTTTTTGTTTAACTTTTTGGTTTCTTGAGATAGAGTTGTATGGAGGCCAGACAGAATGTAGCTGAAGCTACACGAGAGCCAAAGGGGAATCACACACCAGAGCAAACTGGTCATGGATGGGACACACAGGGATGGGGGTGGGGATCGGAGGGTTATGGCAGGGAGTAGCCAGACTAAAGGGGAAATGCTTCCCTCCCCAGATCATTAGTAATGGTGATGGACTCCTGGAGTTATACCTGTTAGGTTGGCAAGGTAGCCATATAAACAAGCTCCCTGGGACCACTTCCTCCCACCCCACACCTACAGCAAAACATAACCCAGAGCAGGGAGTTTGTGGAATGCACAAACAAAACAAACTGGCAGCCACCCAAGGAAAACACAGGCTGAGAAGAGACTGAAGGCAGAGGCAGCCTGGTCAACACATGGATTTCTGAGGAGGCCAAGGGGAAATGAAGTCTATGCTTCCACTACAAGTTAAATGTTGCAGGCATTGTTAAAGGTAGAAGGGTGTGGAGGAAGTGCCTCTCATCTGCATAAGCCAGGTCTTTAGCATCACTGGGTCAAACAGTCAGGTCTCACATAACTACTTATATGAGAAAAAGGCAGGTAAGGAAGAAGGGACCTTTGAAATTCTAATTTAGGATCACTCTCAGGAGCAAATTCTTACCAAGACTAATAAGAATGCATAACTCACCCGGAAAACATCTGCCTTGTCTTCAAACAGATTGACAAAATATTTATAGTCAGCATAAGCCCAGAATTTGGAATGATCATAATCTTCAAATGGTCCAGGGACACTAGACTGCTCACAGTTCCAGGCCAGAAACTCCTCAAGGGAAGCATCCACGTAACTGCATGCCGTTTCAAACTGAGGGACTGCAACACAAGGGAACACAACTGGAAATGTTTCACAAGCACATCATCTAAATACTTTTTAAAAAGTTAAATATTGACCAAAATATTGTTTACCAATATTTAAAAATGAATTTTGTACTTGTTCACATAACAAATTACATCATTCACAATAAAACAAAAAGAATGGTTTTGTCCTTAAGATTAATGATGGTGGGTGGTGGTGCACACATTTAATGCTAGCACTGTGGAGGTAGAGGCAGAGGCAGGTGGATCTCCCGAGTTCAAGGCCAGCCTGATCTACGGAGTGAGTTCCAGGACAGCCAGGGCTACACAGAGTAACCCACCAATCAAACAAAAACAAACAAATAAAAAGATTAATGACTACCCTCCAAGCCAGACCTATAGTCCCAGCCCAGCATGAAGGTTGAGGTAGGAGGATCTTGGGTTTGAGGCCACTGAGTGAAAATGGGGGATGGGGAGAAAGGAGAAAGAAGAGACAGGAAGGGGGGCAATGGAGTGAGAAGGAGGGAGGAGGGCAAAAGGCCACCTTTACTATAGTGTGCTCCAATTCCCCCTCAGTGTCCACTCCTACAGTGCTCACACAGTACCTACCCCTGTCAGTCTCACTGGCTCGTGAGTGTGTTCTCCACTGGCTGCACAACTGTGATGGCTCCTTCTCACTGCCCTGCCTGAATTCACGTCACCTAGAAGACACATCTCTGGGCTGCTGTGAAAGTGTGTCCAGGGGTGTTTAACTTAGGAAACAAGCCTCACTGTGAAGAATACTGGCATGGAAAGCCTGAGTGAATGGAAAGTAAGAGAATGTAAGGTCTGGGGAGTGCCAACGTCACCTCAGCGGCTTCTTGCTGGGTATTTGGTCAGAGAAATGAGAAAAGTAACTACTATGGTGACATGTGTGGGTGTTACTACTCGGACACTTGGTGTGTTACGGTTTTTTGTTTGTTTGGGTCTCTCTACATAGCTATGGCTGGCCTGGGACTCCCTATACAGACCAGATGAGCCTCGAACTCACAGAGCTCCACCTGCCTCAGTCTTCAGACTAAAGGCCTGCACCAAGTCCAGTCATGCTTATTTCTTAGGCTTCATATACTTAGTATCATTGTTTTAAATAAGGTAAATATCACTGGAGCCAGGTGGTGGTGGTGTACACCTTTAATCCCAGTACCTGGGAGGCAGAGGCAGGTACATCATTATGAGTTCAAGGCCAGCCTGGTCTACAGAGTGAGTTCGGGGACAGCTAGGGCTACAGAGAAACCACGTCTTGGAAAAACAAAACAAAACAAAACAAACAAACAAACAAACAAAGTACTAATGGACAGAGCCTGCCTCACTGGCATCCTCGCTGTCTTAAATAGGTACCACTAGAGAAAGCCTGCATCACTGGAGGCAGAGCAGGTGGATCTCTGAGAAACTCTGTCTCGAAAAACCAAAAGCCAAACCAAACCAAACAAACAAAAAATTTAAGGCAATAAATGGTGTTTGAAAAATTTTGCTTTCCACTGCATGTTTACAAACAGAGCTCCTTAGAATCATTAGCTGGACAATAGCAATTTAATGTCTGCTCTTTCATTTATTAACTCAGTTGCTTAGGAATCATTTACTAAGCACATAATTTGTGATAAGTATAGTGCTTAGATTTGTAGGGACACAAAAGAAGTAGATAATAGTCTTGAGCTTAGAATACAATTTGATAAAGCCAAACATGTTTGTAATGCCTTCACTGAAGAGGCTGAGGTGTGAAGACACTGAGTTCAAGGCCAGCCTGGGCTAAATAGCAGGACCCTATGCCAGGACTTGAATTAGAAATGTCCCCCACAGGCAAAAGTCTTTGAATTCTTTGTCCCCAATGGTGAACTGCTTACAAGAGTGTGAGTGACAGAAAACAAACTAGAACAATGTGTAGGATGTTGTTGTGGCTGTTTGAATAAAAATGGCCCCCATAGGCCAATAGTGAGTGGCACTCATAGAAGGTGTGGCCTTGCTGGAATAGGTGTGGCCTTGTTGGCCTTGTTGGAGGAAGTGTGTCACTGGGAGTGGGCTTTGAGGTTTCAGAAGTTCGAGCCAGGCCCAGCAGCTCCCTGTCTGTTCCTGCTTCCTGCTGATCCAGAGGTAGAACTCTCAGCTCCTCTCCAGCACCCTGCCTGTCTTCATACCATGCTTCCTGCCATGATGATAATGGACTGAACCTCTGAACTGTAAGCCAGCACCACACCTCAATTAAATGCCTTCCTTTATAAGAACTGCCACGGTCATGGTGTCTCTTCACAGAACAGAAACTCTAACTATGACAGTTGTGAAACCTTTTGGACATGGGGGTCTAGTGGCAGATGTGGCTAAAAGGACAAGGCTAGAAGATTACATAGTCTAGCCCAGTTTTAGTCTGCTTCATGATCCACTGATAAATAATAAGCCACGTGGCAAGCACCTACCACCACAGGCTAAGTCAATCCAGCTGCTGTGCTTCTCCTACCACAACTCTACCCCTCTCCTGTTGCATTGAAACAGGCTCTGGCTGCCCTAAAGGTGTGTGTCATTATGCCCAGCTGCATGGCACCCCTTTAAACCAGGAGCTAAAATCAAGTTAAGCTCTGTTGCTCAGTACTTTACCACAGCAGGGTGAGAGTAACAATACATCCAATCTCAAAAACTAAAAGCAAAACCCACTTCAGACAAAGATGAAGCTTTAACTAGAGTGACAGAGAATCTGCAGGCCCATGCAAGCCATTACGTACAGAACAATGCCACAGACAACTTGCAGAGTGTAGATGAACACGGGAAAATTAATAGTTAGGAAATCTAACTATGGGCTTCTTTGCAAAGCATGAAACCCTTTCAGGATGGGGTGGAGTGGAGTGCAGCACAGAGCCTGACACACAGCACATGTAAATGTCAGGCACTATTATTAGTCCTTCGGTTCAGTGTTGACCTGGAGCCTTTTCAAATTTAAAGGAGTCAACAGAGGGATGGATAGTCAAGCTCTTCTTTCATCAGCTTCTACCTTTTCCTTCCTTCCTCACCCATAGGGATTATCCAATCATCTTTGTCCATTCTCTTACTTTTCTTGACACTATCAAACCACAGATATGGGACAGAGGCAGGACGATGTCATCTAACCCAACTACCTCATCAACTTGTCAGCTTCATGACATAGAAAAACTTCAGCAGGCCATGTTGATCTAAAAGACAAAAATCTATATACTTAAAAAGCATTTCACTTTTGAAAACTTGTGAAGCAGTTAGGACCAGTGTCTGACAAACAGGAAACCACTGATAATACAAACTCTTAATAAATAACATTGGCATCCTCAAGATTATCATAAAACCAAGAGTAAATAGAATTAATTTTAACAAAAAGATAAGTAGCAAGACAGTTTTTGTGATTCTGAGAAGGGAGCCGCTTCTAATCCTTACAGCAAACTCCATGGAAAGTGCACAAGTTTTCCCTTCGCAGAATTCAACCCAACTGACTAATTGGATGCTAACGCCCTTGACTGAACAACTTGGCCTTGGGGAGGAAGGAACAGAGCACTTGGCTGATGGCATTTATCACCAGCAAGTCTGCGCTGTAGTCTTCAAAACCTGGCCTCATTTCAGAACTTCACTTCCTGTCACAGCAAATTCTGCATGTTAAAAATGAAAACCTAAAAATGTAAAAGCTGCACTTGAGAACTGTTACTGCCAGGGGAAAATGGAAATGACAAAAACTGTTCACCCTTTCACTCTGGACGAGGAGGAGCAACACTGAGTGGTGGTCTGAGTTCATGGGTGACAGTCCGCTCTGGTAGCACACTTGCTTTCCTTGGTTTGCTTCATGTAGTAGGATATTCCTTTCTAACTTTATCATTCTGTTCTTTTATTTAATGAGGAAGCAGTCAAGACAGCTCCACCTATAGTCACTTACTGCCAAGTATTAGGCAAGAAGCAGTTGACCAAGTCCAAGATTTCACAGAAAAATAAGTGAGCTTGCTTCTCCATCGGAAACGAAAGGTTTTAAGTATATGCATTTGCCCAGCAGGAGAGCAGCTACTCTTCCATTTTAGAATTTCATCACTTTACAAACTAGAAAGTGACTCTACCCTGGTCTTGTGGCCACTCTGCTCCTTTCCGACTTACTAATGTTTGGCACTGTTTCTAAAATGGTTGGTAACTGTTGCCGGCTAAAGTACAGTGCAAACTGTGAGCCCTCATTAGACAAGTACGATTGAGTAATTAAAAACACATTTAAAGGCCTACATGCTATTCATCAGCTGCGTCCTAAAATAAACTCAGGAAAGCATTATGTTTTTGTTTTTAAGACAGAGTTTCACTATGTAGGCCAAGTTGGCCTCAAACTCAGATCAGGTTACCTCTGCCTCCCAAATGTTGGGAGCAAAGTGTGTGCTAGCATGCCTGGCTTAAAAACAAACAAACAAACAAAAAAACCCCAAAACTTAAAAAATATGCTGTAACTATAGATAATCATAATATATCAAACATTTCAAAGGAGAAAGGATTCTGGAGAATTTCACCACAAAGAACTGACAGACATTCAGAATGATAGATAAGCTCACCTAATTTAAACATTAGTAATGTCTACATAAATTGAACATAACACTCCATTAAACGCTATGTAAAACTTTTATGGTTTAGTTAAAAATAAAAACAATGCCAATTATTTTTTTTAAAAACCAGTTACTAATACTACTGTTTCAAGCATCCTAGAAAAAATATTCTAAACAAGACCTAAGACAGATACAAGAAATAATCTCAATACAAAATAAACAAAAATGTAATTACTTATAAAATTATGTGCCTGTATTTCTATAGGACCTACAGGAACAAACACCTACCTACACAAAAAAAAGCAATAGACACAAAGTCAACATAGAGAAATAAATAGCTTTTATCTATGTACCAACCCAAAAACACCACAATGAGTCTAGACAGAGACCCTGTCTCAACTCCCCCATTATATACATACTGAATGTGTATGTTGGGTAAAAATATTTTCTTTACACTAG